AAGAGCGGATTATCGGACGATATAACGCTAAAGCTGAAAACCGTAAGGAGAGAGCTGAGTTTGGCGGGTCAGAAACTAGGGCAACGGGGGCCATCCGCTGAAGACACCATCCCAAGCATAAGCTTTCTGTTCGCGTTGACAGAGACGGTGAATAAGGTCGAAGAAGTCGCGAGAGAAGTGGAAGAACTGGCAAAGATTGCTTATTCCGCAAGGCAAGTGCCGAATCATATGGATGAAATAGCAGGCGCTAATCTCGATCTGGCCAAGGAATGCGAACAGATGTGCCAGAGGCCGAAGACGAATAATAATAACAGGCCAATCCATGAATAAACGATGCACCAGTTAAGGAGAAGAATGGAATCCATCATTTGATTTCAGATGATAAACTATAACGAGAATGTACCTTACATTTTGTTCAAACCGCTGTCATCCACGTGCATTCTCTCTTTAATATATGCAAGAGGATTTACAAGAATTTCTAATTAATAATCCAAACTTTATGAAATAATCTTACGAAATTGGTGTAAAAAGGTAGAGGAGGAAACCAGGGCTAAGTCAAAGGCAAATCTCCATGCTGTAAAATTTTGGAGATTTCGTGTTACCCAAGAAACCCCTCCGGAGGTGAGAATAGAAGAACGAACCGTGAGCAGGTACCTTGCGGTACAAGTCAAAGGAGAAGTCGGTGAACAAGAAAAAACAGCTATTTGAAAGTTGAAACGGACAAGACAAGAAAAAAAACTCATCAAAAGAAGTGGATAAGGCAGAGGTTGCAGCAGAAGATCCGCACATCAGTTTTGACGGCGGTGAAGAAAGATCCTCATGACGTCATGTCCTACGTCAGTGACGTCGTTCTTTGACTACATATTTACGACGGTGATTTTTCATTTTTTTGTTTACCGAGCAATGTTTTTTTTCGTTAACTAGAAGTTCACCAGGACATTCGGTCCAGCTTACATCTTCCTAGGTCTGAGAGCAGTCTTTAGAGGCCCGACGATAGAGGTCCAAATAACAACACCCTCCCAACCGAGAAATATCCCTTCCCTCCCATCAGCTAGTTTCGAACTGACAACCGGAATCCAGAGAACAACACCCTTTCGCCACTCAGCCACCCATTGATGGGTAAGCAATGTTTATCTATAGAAAAAAAATCCATTAAATACGAACCAAATATGTTATTCAATGTGAAAATTTAATGTTATGATCTATTCAAAATATCTGTATTGTGTTACATTCGGTTGGAAAACTACGAAACATTTATCCATATATCTAGAAGTAAAATGTCACAAATCAAACAAAAGATTTTTCCAACCATGATATTAAATTTTGATACGAAAAGGATAAAGCATATCCTAATATTTTCAAATGTTGTTACATGTAATAGAAAAAATTGACATGTTATCTGAAACAGGTGATATAAAATAAATGAATGATGGGTCAAAAGTCAAAGTAGAGACGCCACCTGGCTTTCATCACACGTGTTGCTTCTTTGACTTTTCGTGTTTCCCGTACTATTAATTAATTAATAAAATATAGTATCATTGATGCTTATATATATACACACACACTAATTAACCAAGTTTTCATTTTCTGAAAACAGTAGATCCTGTCAGTGTCAGGGGAAATGTTTGCATGGACCATATAGTAAACCTTTATAAAAATGATTACGATGTATAAATGTTAACTGTCTACTTGGGTTAATTGTTAGGGGTTTGTAAAGGATCTTATTTTGATTGATTAATATATTTACCATTATAAAAAAAAAAATCGGGCCACATCTATCAATGTAAGATATCAAATTCATGTTGTCATTGAGATCACGTTGTGGCGTGTCGTAATTGATCTAACAAATCTCACGCCGATATCATATATTATACGAAAGTCAAAAATCAATCGTATGCCATTTTCAAAGAAAAGATATAAAATAAAAAATATTCCGATGGTAACCTTTCGAGTTTGCCGACTCAAAATGAACATCTATAAATAGAAGCTACCCTATTAACACTTTCCATAACAAAATCACAATGGCTTCGTCTGTTCTTCATTTTCTTCTCCTCCTCTTCTTTGTCGTTCTTCCGACAACATTTGCCCAGCAATCTTTCCGACCAAAAGCCCTTGTCTTGCCGGTGACAAAAGACGCTTCTACCCTCCAATACCTCGCCACCATCAACCAACGCACACCTCTCGTCCCGGTGAAGCTCGTCGTCGACCTCGGCGGTCAGTTCCAGTGGGTCGACTGCGACAAGGGCTACATCTCCTCCACGTACCGCCCGGCTCGTTGCCGCTCCGCGGTCTGCTCACTCGCCCGCTCCACCTCCTGCGGCGATTGCTTCTCCGCGCCAAGACCAGGCTGCAATAACAACACCTGCGGCGTCTTCCCCGACAACACCGTCACTCGCACCGCCACTTCCGGCGAACTCGCCCAGGACGTCGTCTCCATCGAGTCGACCGACGGGTCGAACCCGGGTCGGGTCGTGACAGTGCCCAGGTTCGTTCTCGCTTGTGGGTCTACGTTTTTGCTTGATGGGCTTGCTAATGGAGCCATGGGCATGGCCGGGTTGGGCCGTACCAACATCGCCCTGCCGTCGCAGTTCGCCGCCGCCTTCAGTTTCCGGCGGAAGTTCGCCGTGTGCCTGTCGTCGGGGAGAGGCGTCGTCTTCTTCGGAGACGGTCCGTACGTCTTCCTCCCCGGGATCGAGATTTCTGGGCTGACTTACACGCCGTTGCTCATCAACCCCGTCAGCACGGCGTCTGCGTTTTCGCAGGGCGAGAAATCTGCTGAGTATTTCATCGGCGTTACCGGAATCTTAGTCAACAACAAGCCGGTGCCTTTGAATCAGACCCTTTTGAAGATCAATCGCGAAGGATTCGGTGGGACCAAGATAAGCACCGTGAATCCGTACACCGTATTGGAGACGTCGATCTACAACGCGGTCGTGTCGGCGTTCGTCAGAGAAACGGCAGCGAAGAGGGTCGCGGCGGTGGCTCCGTTCGGAGCGTGTTTCAGCACGGAGGGCGTGGGGAGCACGCGTCTGGGACCGGCGGTGCCGGAGATAGACCTGGTTCTGCAAAGCAACGACGTCGTGTGGAGAATCTTCGGGGCGAACTCGATGGTGAGCGTAAGAGATGACGTCATCTGTCTGGGTTTCGTCGACGGCGGAGTGAACCCGAGGACTTCCATAGTCATCGGAGGGTATCAATTGGAGGACAATGTGGTTCAGTTCGATTTGGCGGCGTCGAGATTAGGGTTCAGCTCCACGCTGCTGGGAAGGCGTACGAATTGTGCCAACTTCAACTTCACCTCCACCGCTTGATTATGTCCAAGAAATCTTATTTCGTGTCGTTAATAAGGCCAAGGGGTCAGGCCTTGGTGATCACGATGTGATTTGAATAAGACATGAGTGAATATAATGCATACAGGTGTGTTTGGTTGCCAATGCTGTCTCCTATCTTGTTAATGCCTTGTCGGAATTCATTAAACGTAACTAATTAGACGAACTTCTAATTACAATGCCCAGCCCGAATATCATACATTGTAGGAAAAAGTCAAAGTTTCGTCAGACAATTATCAAACGACAATTCAAATATGGTGTATTAAAAAAAGATGGAAAAAGTCAAACATGTTGTCTAGTCTCAAAAGCTATAAATGGAATATGGAAGTACCTCTGCAACTATCTGAGAAACAAAATCACCATGGCTTCATCTCTTCTTCACCATGTTCTTGTTGTTCTTCTCTTCTTCGTCGTTGCGACATTTGCCCAGCAATCCTTCCGACCAAAAGCTCTTGTCCTGCCGGTGACAAAAGACGCTTCTACCCTCCAATACGTTGCCACCATCAACCAACGCACCCCTCTCGTCCCGGTGAAGCTCGTCGTCGACCTCGGCGGTCAATTCCAGTGGGTCGTCTGCGACAAGGGCTACGTCTCCTCCACGTACCGCCCGGCTCGTTGCCGCTCCGCCGTCTGCTCACTCGCCCGCTCCACCTCCTGCGGCGATTGCTTCTCCGCGCCAAGACCAGGCTGCAATAACAACACCTGCGGCGCCTTTCCAGCCAACACCATCACTCCCATCGTCACTTCCGGCGAACTCGCTCAGGACGTTGTTTCTATCGAGTCCACCGACGGGTCGAACCCGGGTCAGATCGTAACTCTGCCCAGATTCGCCTTCGTTTGCGGTTCCACGTTTTTGCTTGATGGGCTTGCGAACGGGGCCGTGGGCATGGCCGGATTGGGCCGTACCAACATCGCTCTCCCGGCCCAGTTCTCCGCCGCATTTAGTTTCCGGCGGAAGTTCGCCGTATGTCTGTCGACGGGGAGAGGCGTCATCTTCTTCGGCGACGGACCTTACTTCTTCCTCCCCGGGATCGAGATTGCCCGGCTGACCTACACGCCGTTGTTCATCAACCCCGTGAGCACCGAATACTTCATCGGCGTCAACGGAATCAGAGTCAACAACAAGCTCCTGCCTTTGAATCAGACCCTATTGAAGATCAACAGTGAAGGGTTCGGACGGACAAAGATCAGCACCGTGAATCCGTACACCGTCATGGAGACGTCGATCTACAACGCCGTCTTGTCGGCGTTCGTCAGAGACACGGCAGCGAAGAGGGTCGCGGCGGTGGCTCCGTTCGGGGCTTGCTTCAGCACGGAGGGCGTGGCGAGTACGCGCTTGGGTGCGGCGGTGCCGGAGATCGACCTGGTTCTGCAAAGCAGCGACGTCGTATGGAAAATCTTCGGGGCGAACTCGATGGTGAGCGTAAGCGACAACGTCATCTGTCTGGGTTTTGTCGACGGAGGAGTAAACCCGATGAGTTCCATAGTCATCGGAGGGCATCAGTTAGAAGACAATCTGGTTCAATTCGATTTGGCGGCGTCGAGATTAGGGTTCAGCTCCACGCTGTTGGGAAGCCGTACGAATTGTGCCAACTTCAATTTCACTTCCACTGCTTGATCAGCTCCACGCTGTTGGGAAGCCGTACGAATTGTGCCAACTTCTCCCCGTGTTCTTGCGAATGTTATTTCGTGTCGTTAATAAGGCCGAAGGGATTTTTCCCGTGTATGTTGTATTGTTTGTCTTGTAAAGGGACATCTTTGTAACGTCGAGTAGTTTTGGGGAATTTGTATAATTTTAATAAGTTCGAGGCATTTATGACAATTATTGGAGAAGTGAAGCCTATCGACTTTAAAAGTAGCTTTAATTTGGAATTAAGAAGAAGGCCCACCGCGTTTTGGACACACTCCCGCTCTTGCCTCTGGGGAACGGGTTTGGTTTTCTGCTCCTTTCACAAGCCCTAGATTTCTCCTTTTCGTCTTCCTCGTCTCGCCATGAAACTCGTCAGGTAGGGTTTCTCTCCGTTTCTTCTTCCCCAATTTTTTTCTAGTTTTTGTCCGGTAAGTAAACACGGGTTTTGAAATGTTGACTTCGTTTATGTTTGTTTGGATTTGCCCTTGGATCGGCGTCGCAGGTTTTTGATGAAATTGAACAATGAAACGGTTTCGATCGAACTCAAGAACGGGACAGTCGTGCACGGAACTATTACGGGTACGCGATTCTTAAATCCCAGCTCTTTTTCTTGTCGAGATTCCTCCATCGCATTTTCGGGCGATTAGGGTTTTTGCAAAATCTCGGCAACTATGGTGAGTAGAACTAGTCGATAGTAGTGGTACTAGATTTCTATTAGCTTAGAACTGTTCTTATATTGGACTTATCTTGCTCGAGCTGACATAGTCTACGTTTCATGTAGAGGAACCGCGACTAGTCGATAGCAGTTTTACTAGATTCGTGTTGCAGTGCTCGTGATACTGTAAATATAGCAAACAGTAGGTTCTTTTCTTCTGAAGAGAGGTTCATGCTTCCCCATAACAATGCCTGGGATGTCCCTTTTAACGTTGTATTTTACTGATTCGAATTATGTGGACTGACAACATGCCTGCTAGGTGAATCGAGGTTATGATTTTTACTTCTTCTGTGTTGAAGAGTGTGGATTTCTTACTGAGACTCATCGTGCGCAGTCGACTTCTCTTACTATAAGTGTTTTATTTATCATGGCAGAATACATCAGGGAGCAACTATGTTTAGTTAATGTTTGTCATGTTTTAGCACTTGGACAGCATCTTTTCTCTTGGAAGTAAAAATAAGAACTCTTTGTATCTTTCGGATGGTTACATTTGTAGTTTCAACTTTTTTTCCCATTCTGGGTTTTTCATATTTGAGGTGGTCAAAAGTACCTCCTGAATAGGATACACTTAATTCTTGTTCGGCAATGATGTTGTTTTATCTCTTATGAATGTGGATCACATGTACTATCTTATGACATGCTGCACTTATGTATAACCTCCTAGATTAATAAGTTCACAGAAACGTGTAGTTCCTTTCCTAGACGAACCCCTAGCATTTTGTGATTCCTCAGAGGCCTCTTCCTTTAGTTGTAATCTTCTTTGGAGTGGGATTCGTTCTTCCATGATAACTTAAATTGATATGTCTGTCTGCTGTCATATGTTCTTGCTTGTACTTTGGCCTGTGTGGGATTGTGGATAATGTTCTCCGAATTACAGCCCTTCGTTACGTTTTGGACACAATAGAATGTAGGTGCCACTGATTCCCAGATTGTAATAAATGAATGCAGGTGTAGATGTTAGTATGAACACACATTTAAAGGCTGTGAAGCTCACTCTGAAAGGGAAGAATCCAGTTACATTAGACCACTTAAGTGTCAGAGGAAACAACATTCGGTATTATATTCTTCCTGACAGCTTAAACCTGGAGACCTTGCTAGTTGAGGACACACCAAGAATCAAGCCAAAGAAGCCCACTGCAGGTACCAAGAGCTTCTGATTTCATTCTCTGTGGTTACAAGTAAAGCAGCTAACAATGCTTCATGCATATGGTCTAATGCCTCTATTCATTTTTTTTTTGTGTACGTTCCAGGGAAGACAGTGGGTCGTGGCCGTGGGCGCGGCCGTGGTCGTGGACGTGGCCGTGGCCGTTGAAAATTTTAGCAGTGGTTACATTCTGAGACACTGATTTGTAAGGACATGTGGTGGTGACTGGTGAGGATCGGTTTCATGGGAAAAGAAAGCAGCCTTTGGCAATTTCTATATTTTTTGTTGACGTTTCTCTAAACCTGCACTTTGATGTAATTGGAGAAAACGATTGATGATTGTGTTTAGAAAGCAACATGAAGTGAACCGAGATATATAAAGTCATCCCAATCTGTTTTCTTGTTTGTTTATTTGACACAAGAAATTACATAAACTGAAAATATTAGAGGTGGACATTTCGGTTTGGAAATTTTAGTTTCGTACTAATTTGAATCGAAACCGGACCAAATCGAAAATGAACATTCAAATACAAAAGAAGCGACGATCTTGGATCAGATTATCGTCGTCGTCATCATCATCAGCCTTGTAAGAATCCAATACAATGTTTACTTAGACAAACATATTACTCTGTTGTTAGCAGACAAGAAGGCCTTCCATGACAGTAAGAGCTCTTCCTCTCAGAAGGACTCTCCCCTTCTCCATGTCCAAACTCATCATCACCTTTCCCCTCCTACGCGAGGCCTGAAACCCGAAATCAAACTCAGTATATGCTACATCCATCTGATGTTGCAGAAAAGTTTGCTCCTTGATTCGGTGGCCGAACCAGAAACTCTTACAAAAACGTTGGTTATAGAGAGAGAGAGAGAGAGAGAGAGAGAGAGAGAGAGAGATTACAGCGAATGCTACAAAATCAGACTTGTTGAGTTTAAGGCTCCAGTAATGTGCCAATGCACAGTGTGCGCTTCCACAAACGGGGGGCTGAAAGAGCAAAGAAACAGAGCAAAACAAATCAACACCTTCTGCGTTTTTTTCAAAAGATCCGCAAGCGAAAATTCACATAACAATTCGTAGCTTTTTTCCATGAAAATTCAAAGCTGCTTTACCTCTTCAACCCCTATTTTTGGGGCAAAGCACCGACTCATGAAATCGTAGTCAGATCCAGCAGGGGCAGCTGCTGTCACAACTACCATTTTCCCCGGGCATTCAAATATATCTTCGGTTCTTGGCTGCAATTTGATGACCGACTCCATGGATGGAAGCTCGACCTGCAAAACCAATGCATGTAAGACAACTACAGAACAATCGTTAGATCACATCGAATCAGTCCGTCCTCAAAGGGTGAAGATATCTCAAAAGTAACACCTTATTGTTTTCTTGATCAGGTAGTGTAAAGTATATCAAAGTTTGATAGCTCAGAAATCAGAGACAGAAGCAGGAATCTTTGAGGGGTTATCAAATGGCTGAGCCAAAATAAGAGTTCTAGCATTCTGTGCCCCAAAACGACACGAAAACACGCAGGGAAGAAAAATTGGAAAACAGATTAAGAAGTGCTTTACGATGATATAATCTATCGAAGTTGCTTTGACGTCAACAATGGTAGTTCCATCCAAGGCTTTGGACAACATGGACAAGTCGTTGGAGCTGTACTCATACGATTGAACCATAGGGAGTCTCAACTCAATCAAGAACGATTTTTTAGCTTCACCATCATTGTCAGGAACCCTTTTAGCTGTTATAACCCCGGCTCGTGTGGAGAATTCGATCGTCTCAGTATCGACCAAACCGTTTGAGAAGAGAGTGTGAGCAGAAGCCAAAGTCACATGACCGCAGATATCCACCTGCCAAAAGGGAAGAACTTTCTCTTTCTCATCCAAATCCCGACATTACCCAGATGGTTTAAAGTAGCAACTGAGCTAGGACATACACTTTTGACAGATTTAGAAGAACCCATAAAAGGAGCCATGATCGTACGTGGATTCAAATCAACAAACCCATCAAATAAGAAATCATCTGACATAGATGTGTTTGTACCTTCCTCTGTTTTGCAAATTTAAGATACCAAATAAAATAGATGTGTAGGAGAGAATTAGGGGACCTCGGTGGTGGTGGAAAACCACCGGAGACGGAAGCCGGAGGCGGAGCCGGTGATCGGAGTGAGAAAACCAGTAATCGGGGTTTTGAACTCCACGGCGACGGACTGAAGCCAAGCATCGTCTCTCTCGTCGTCCTCGCCGAGAAAGCAAACCGCCGCAGGATTCCCCTTGAATGCAGACTCGGTGAACGCATCGACCTGTTCCCATTCATCGGATTCGAGCCAAGATGAAGCATTTGCCGGCCAACAATAGAAGAAAGAAAGAAAGAAAGAAGAGATCTAGAGGAGATCATTACAACGAAGTACTTGATAGGCTTCTTCTTCGCCATTTCTGTAGCTTAAAGTCGGTACCTTTGCGTTTCTTCCGGTGGGAAACACGATTATATCGCCAAACAATAAAACATGCTCGCTCTCTCTCCCCTTTTCTTTATCGTAAAAAATATTTAAAAATTTAAAATAAAAATCCTTTCTTTTTGTAATAAAATGGGCAGATTATTAGAATATTTTAAAGAGTCTGAAATTATTATTAATCCAAGAAATCAAATGAGCTGCAAAAACACTGCTTAATGCTTAGAACACGAAACGTTATTCGTTTTGAAAAGACCAAAAGTTCCTTGTCAGCAGAAGACACGGCCTTCCATGACTGTCACAGCTTTGCCTTGGAGGAGGACTCTGTCTTTCTCCATGTCCAAACAAACCCTCAGCTTTCCGCTCCTGCGTGAAGCCTGGACCAAAATTTCAAAACCCGATTCCAGTTCAGAAGGGTGGATTTCAACTGATGTTACAGAAAAGTTTGCTCCTTGGTCTGGTGAGAGAGAGAGAGAGAGAGATTACGGCGTATGCTACAAAATGGGACTTGTTCATTTTGAGGCTCCAGTAATGTGCCAATGCACAATGAGCGCAGACGGGATCCTGAAGGAACAGGGAAAAGAAGTAACATTACAAGAACGAGGTTCATAGGTTTCTCGGACACGGAAATGCAGGGCAGGTGCTTTTACCTCGTCAATTCCTAATTTCGGGGCGAAGATCCTGCTACAGAAATCGTAGGTAGATCCTGCAGGAGCAGCTGCTGTCACGACTACAACTTTCTCGGGGCATTCCGATATATCGTCGGGTCGTGGCTGCAATTCTACCACGGATTCCCAAGATGGAAGCTCCACCTGTAACCCAATGTGTTTGTAAGAAACCACTTCCAGTCCAAGGCCGTAAACAGCATATGAGCCACACGTGAAGATTTCAAGAATCACTCTGTTTCGTTTTCTTGACAAGCAAGTATTAACCATCACAAGAATCGAAAACTTCAGGATGCATTGTTTACCATGAGAAAAAGATTGCTTACGATGGTATAGTCTAACGTAGATGCTTTGATGTCAACAATGGTGGCTCCGTTCAGGGCTTTGGAGAACAAGGATATGTCTTTGGGACTGTAGTCGTATGTCGGAGCCAGAGGGAGATTCAGTTCGATAAAAAGGGCATCTCAGATTCACCATTGTGGTCCGAAATCCTTTTAGCCGTTAGGATCCCAGATCGGGTGGAGAATTCGATTGTCTCCGTATCGACCAAACCGCTTGAGAAGAGAATGTGAGCTGTTGCTAAAGTTGCATGACCACAGATATCCAGCTTCCAAAAAGTAAACAGCAACTTGTCAGGACCATTTCTGACAAAAACGTGCTCCAAAACTTGAGGGAGAGAGAGAGAGAGAAGTGGGAACCTCGACGGTGGAGGAAAACCACCGGAGACAGAAGGCGGAGCCGGTTGACGGAGAGACAAAACAGGTGGCCGGAGTTCCGAACTCGGCGGCGAGAGACAGAAACCGTGCATTGTCTATCTCATTCTGTGCCATGTTGCTATCGTTCATGCTCTCAGTATTGTTGCACCGAGCAAATATTTTTGGGGAGTCAAGGAAGGAAACAACCCTCCTCTGTTTTTTTTATTTATAAAAAAAATATAACAAAAACGGCAGGGATTATTATCATGGGAGACCTCACTCTCTGTACTGCATTATAGATGATTTGACAACATTGTGTCGAAACACGTGATTAAATTCTAAGGACAAGTTTATTCCACGTTTTCTCCTTACACGACAGACGAGATTTAGTAAGACTATCACTAATTACTTAAATAGATTTGAGTTTAAGAGATGATGTCAGGTTCCGTTGTTCCTCCCTTCACGTGCATGCATGCATGCATGCATACATACAAAGACAGAGCGTTTATTACTCAACTTCTCGTCAGGCATAGAATTCAAGAAGGCGTTCCTTCGGCTACGTCCCTTGTAGAGAGAAAAAATTGTACATTCCAAACAGAGTTTGGTCATAAGAATGTTCAATGTGGGGGAAGTTCCGCAATGTGAGCAAAATACTACACTTTTATTTATTTTACAGCCATGGACGCATCGTCCATGGGGATGTTGCAGAGATTACCAAGCTCCTTCCTTTGTCATCTTCAAGAAATGTGCCAGGCTGATGTTTGGATTCTCGGCCGAGCCCCCCTTCTTCCTTCTTATCTTTGTCGTCTTCCTCGATTTCGCTCCTACTATTTGCTCCGTCTCAGTTACAGACGCCAAGTTGTAGAACTGTTCCAGGGAAACAAGTCATTCCGATGTTACCTTCAGCTGTTTAACAAGAAACCTCGTATTCGAACCCCCTACCCGTCTAGACAAAAACATAACTTGTTGAAAGTGTTCCTGAGTGATAGCAAATCAATCATCTTTACCTCACAGACACCGTGCAGAAGCAATCTGTGAAAGGGGTCCTGAACTCTGAGTTCAAGGACATCTCCTTCACCACCTTCCTCCAGGAAATGTCGAATGTAGTTCTGTAAAAGAGGAATAACGAGTCAGTCTAAATAGTATATTCCAGAATAAAAGATAATGTTAGAAGTTAGAGAGTAAGGGGGGCTGTTACAATGAAGGGTTAATCGTCAAGACTGAAGAATCTCATACCTCGTAGCCCTCGATTAGTTCTGGTAGAAAGCTACGTCGGAGAGCCTCTCTTGTTCTACAATCTATTCTTCGCCAGGCATTCAAGACGGCTGTCCTGTCCGTGTCTACCTCACCTTTCCTCCTTATGTGTGAACGATTCAAGGAATCCATTATCTTGGCCTGTCAAGGGCAATCTTCAGTTATGATACAACCATGGATGCCAAACTAAATACATAAACTTATACTTCCACAGGCACAAAGTGAAGCACTTCCGCCAGAAACACAACATACCAGAACGAGTTGAGTTGATGTACCTCTTTATCCATGTCTATATTTCTAAATTTGTCCCACTCCCCAACATTTGTCAGAGAAAATGCTGATGGTGGCACATCATCACCTAAACAACAACAGTAGAATCAGTAAACCACAAATGTTCTTCTCAAGGAACTAGCGAAAATGGAGAAGACAAGGGAGCCCCTCAGGTACATTTGCGATACATCTGATGTAACAGGTTTTGTAAGTTATATTACCCCATGGAGGTGGGGCAAACAAGCCTCTAATTTCCTCTCCATTTAAACGAGGAACAAGTTCCATAAGAATCCGATCATTTAGCCACCTCCGAGACCGCCGGTTGCTAACCTACACCAAGCAAGATACCATTGGATAACAAGCTCAAAACTCACCCAACTGAGATTACCCCTTCACAAGAAAAATGCCATCCAAAACAAAAATCAAGTCCACCAACCGCAAAACGAAAAGAACAAGGCATTAAATACACCAGGTGCTGGCAATCTCTATCAAGCTAGTGTTCTATCTAGTGTTCTTTACTCAACCTAACTTGGACGAACAAACCAGAAATCAGATCTCAGCGAAGAGAACATACATAGAGATACTTTACAAGAATACCATATGTTGGGGCAAAAAAAGGGGCTTACTTGTCCCGCCATGCTCTCAAGGAGCTCAATTTTCTTCTCAAGCGACAGCCCACGAGAAACAGAGGCATCTCCTGCACGCGAAAACCCAGAACGATTCATTTCCAGAAAAAAAATACCCTCAAAGTGAACTCCCATAAGCTAAATCACCTTCCCCAATCAAAGACATCGACTCAATAAGCAGCCCAGAAAGTGCCCAAATTGGAGCAATACAACCACTAACCGAAACAAAATCGGATCTAACACGCATCGATCTAATCATAAACGTAAAAGCTCCACGAGTGTTGTGCGTCGAAGTCACCTTTACGGAAATCAAGGAGCGACGCCATGAGAAGGCTCTCGTCTCGCTGCATGACATCGGTGGTCGCCATGATTCACCAATTCGATGGTCAATTAAACAACGGACCGCTTGAACGGAGGCAAGCCCAAAAGGAGATTCTTGACTAGGGCTTCGAATAGAGCTGTGACAATGGAAAGAACTGGAGAAGGAGAACTCGATGAGAATGCGAAGGGAGACGAAAAAAGCTGCGATGCGAGGGTTGAAGATAGAATCGCATCCAGGGAATATGCTACTTACACGTGTGGGGTATCAAGACACGTGCGGAGAAAAACGAATTATTCTTAATTTTTTAGAGGGCTAAAACGGTCTTTTCGCCTTCAGTCGTAGACTGCATGTTGCCATGTACCACACTCTGTAGCCTCCTGCAAACTGTACTGCACGTAACCGATTCGAAGGAGACGAGAGAGAGAGAGCTGAGTGACTTCTTTTTCTCGTTCTTCTCTGTCTCTCTCTCTTGTTCGCTGAAACCCTAGTTCTCGGGAATTTCAATCTTCTTCGCCTGCAACAGTAAGTCTCTTCCTGTTATGCTTCTCTTGTTCAACCTACCGCTTACCCGTAGACGAATATATATGTCTGTGTTTTTGTATATGCATGTATCTGTACATGAGATGGTGTCCATGTCGTAGACATGATGCTTCTCTGTTGTTGTCTGGTTGTTTCTTCTCGAGGTGCTAGTAATCGTCGTTTCCGTTGACGGTTGATTGTTTCATGACCGATGGAAATTTTTTTTTTCCTCTTTGCATTTTGAATCTAGGGTTTCGTGTTTTGATTTCTGCTACTTTCAGAAAGAATCCAGTTGTGTGTTCATCTTGTTGTATCCGTGTTTAGCCTGGATCAACACAACATCATTTGGTTTTGGTAGACTCATTATATTTCTTGTCGAAACATTCGTGTTCACGGAATTGATTGATACCGGCGATTTGGTTTTCAGACAATTATGGAAGGGAAAAGTAATCAGCACATCATATCCTATGATTGTGGAAAGAATGCCAGTATCTTCTCGGGAGATAATCGGAATCATCATCACCAAGCAGAGAGCGGTTTGTCTCTCTCTCAGTGGCTTCATCCATCTCGTTTTCCACGTAGTTACCTTGCTTTGCTGAATGAAGATTCAAAATCTCCTGAAAATGCCTCTGTCACTGATGTCCTGGAGACTCGAGATTCGCCTACTGGCAGCACATATGTTGCTCGAAGAGTCCAAATAATACAAACAGACATGGCGGCGAATTTCAATATCCGCTCTGAAGAGGCATCAGGCAGTACTTTCCCGAACAGAGTTGCTTGTAATGTGAAACCCTCTGTTCGTGTGCAAAGTGATGTCAAATTCAACCATGAAACTTCTGTAAGTTTTCATGACACATCGATATCTTTTGCTTAGTATCCATTGAATTTCAGCTCATGGCTACCGGAATTTTTGTTGTCTCGTAACAGGAAAGCTATGGGAAGGAGCAGGCAGAGAACCGATACTTAGACAGGTTTGGACATCCCAGGTCTCAAAACCATGCGGAGGTGAAGTTCTGTTCATTTTGTTCGCCAATTGAAGTAATGAAAGTATATATGCTGATGACGTGACAACCATATGTTATATCAGAAGTTGGGGTTTCAAAGAAACTGTCGACGCACCACCAGCCGTAATTCTTCTCGGCTATGCCACAATTTGAGAGGTATACGCCCCACTGCGAGCAGGCTGAAATCTTACTCCACCGAGCGTGTAAGTGGAAACCCTCTTCTGCGACCGAAATGAAAATCATGATTTGTGAAACTGTGCGTGTGTTTTCATTGCTTGGGTTTTATGTTAATGGTAATATCAGGAACGTAAGCAGCGGATTGAGGATAACATAAAGGCATTGCAGGAGTTGCTTCCTAATCCTGTAGAGGTTAGTACTGCCATTAGGCTTCATACCGTATGAAGGGGCATGAGTCTGGTAGCCTCCCAACAATAGTGTTTGATGGGGAATCAAAGCACTTCACCTTATGGACGATGTGGTGATGTAGGGTACACCTGAATCTATACTGAACGATGTGGTGGCCCATGTCAAGCTTCTTCAGTTACAGATAAAGGTACGAACCTGAATTTACGCCTGTGTTTTCATTTTTCTTTTGATTGGTTACAGGTTAACGAACCTTCTCAGTCTGTCCGGTGTAGGAGCTAAGTCGAAGCAGGCTGGGGGGAGAACCCACTTCTCATCCTTTCATCTCCATCGAGGTAATGTTCGGGCATTGTTTGTGGCTCGGAAGGAATGAATACATATGGTTGATTCATAGGTTTTTTTTATTTATTGGCAGGGATATGGTCACTATATACACCACGAACAGATGATGAACAAGCCCTTGGAGGAGATAATGGCAGAGCTCATAGGGGACGATCCGGATGCTGCTACTTGCTTGTTGGAGAGCAAAGGCCTCTACTTGGTGCCCTTGGCCTTTGTCCCAGGCTTCTGCCCTGTCCCCTGAATTTGTTTTCCCCTTCTACAACTTCGAAAGGATATAACTCCCTTTTTACATCGAAAATCTCCTTAGTCGGATGAACGAGTGAAAACAATCAATTCAGTAAAAGACCTTATAAAGGGTACATGGAAAAATGTAGGTTCCCATTATGCTATACAAAACAAAAAAGAAAAAAAGAATTCTCTTGCTTTCTTTTCCGCTTTTTTTAAAAATTTGTATTAGGTTTCCTATTGTAGAGGCAGAAGAGGCCTGGAAAACGTGAGGTGTTTTCAAAGTGTGAATATGATGGATCGAAAGGATTTACAACAAAACGGTATTTGGTCACCTCAAGTCTGTGTCTCGCCCACCGATGGGTCAATCCTTATAAGGAGGGACGTGTGTAGATCCATTGAGGGCTCTGCCACCATTGGGAGTGTCGACGACGGACATGTTTTCCCTTCTAAATCGAGATTCTCCGACAGTGCTATCTCCAACGATGATTTCGCCACTCTTGTTATGCACACTATCAGGATCACTGCACAAACGTTTCAACCCCCAGAACATCAAGTTTTATCAACTATTAGCCTAAACATTTGGAAAGTTTAAGAGACCACTTTATGTAGTAAATATTCGTATGTAAACTTCCCCTGGATACCAAGAGGGTTCAGTTCTTTCAAGTTTCAACCCTGAATGTGATGAAAACCCTGTCCAGTAGGTATTCCATTCATATATATATATATATACAGCGTGCCAACTTTGCGCTGATACAACTTGGAAACAGTAAAGAGGCAGAAAGAAATAAGGGACTCACCAGATAGAACAAAGCCGAACACCATGATCACCTGCATCCACGAGCGACATTGGAGGAGAAAAAGGGGAAATCAGATTTCCAATGCAAGGAGAGAGTTCCTTCAAAGCTAAGAAGCTCAGCTACCCAAAACATTGTCTGGTGAGTTATGCAGAGACTGATTGATTGTTTCCATGTCAAGTAATTACACCATAGATCAAGTTATAATCTTAGTCAAATCATCATCCTCGGGACAGTACAATCAAAAACAGTTTCAGGGTTCAGAATAACTCTGCATTGTGTCACTTAACCTAATGGTTTTGATACCAGATACGCCAATTTGGATACATGAGCAAAAGCTTACCCAGCGAGTTGTTGAGATCTCATGCCATCCATGAGTAACATCAGAAAGATCCTTGAGAGTAGTTCCAACATATACTAGTCCAAATGTAATGGGCTGTAAAAAGAAGAAATCTTTAAGGTTAGTAGTTCTGTGAAAATGAAATTTGCAACCCTTTCACATGATGTCAAATGTCTGCAACGCAACATATTAAAAACAACCTAAAGCCATAGGGTCAACCGAAACCCTAAACACAGAAAATATCCTATTTTTTTTTATAAAAAAAAACAGCGGCAGAAAAGAAAGAAGAATATTCTTAGGCGCAACATGATCAATCAGAGCAACTGCTTCTTCTTAAAGCTTTATCATTAGACACTAGCCAACTAGTTATGAATACTAATGAAAAGTCATACCATCATCCCCAACCATGTGGCAAGCATGTACTCTCCTATGCCAACGGGAGTTACAGATAGGAGGTAGTTCAGCATATTGAAGGGCAGTAAAGGCACAAGGCGGAGCAGCAAAACAATCTGCCAAAGATGAAAAATAAACATATTGTCAGCAGTCGATCAATGAAAAAGGCAATTGGACTCAGTTGTATTAATTCCTTTGATAGTGATTGACTTGTAATCTAAAAAACTTTTAAACCGTAATAGCACTAACATGGGACCAACTATTAACCTTTTCTTTCCAAACCAAAGTTAGAGAAGTCTCCAATTCAATATTCTTTTTGGAATTCGGCCACAACCCACCTATAAAATTTAACAAGAGATCTAGATGCCCTTCCCCAGCACCCCCGCCAGGTGGGGACTCTGAATTGGGTTGGTCCTTTTTATCTAGATGCTAGCCAAAAATCTAAAGGAAATTCCTACAGGAAAGGAATACCATAAATTTATTTCTTAACAGGTTAATCAATTTATAGCAAAAAAAGGTTAAATATATGATATTTCCCATAACCATACTTTCAATTCAATCATTCATTGTTTATGAATCCAAGTGAAAAGAATGAAATCAGGGTGAAAATTGACAGTGTGCCAGATCAGGAAATTGACATTGGAGTTCAGGAAATTTTCATGCCTTAAAGCCAGATCTCTGAATTGCAGTGGCAACAGCTTGAAACTTCGGGTAGTTCTTTATCTTTGAGGTGACATAAGATCTACCGACCTGCATGACATCAGAAAGACCCAACGACAAAACAGTAAGCAACAATGATTTTGAAAAAGAGGTAAGAAACAGGAATCACTATCTCTCTGTCTCTCTATCCATATATATGCACGAATTGTCCAGCGAAAAAAATACTAGAAAGAATGTACTCAACCACTCATGAAAGACTAAGCAACTAGATAACACAGAATACAGCTTACGAAAAGGGAAAGGAAAGACCGACATAGGAACAAATACCAATTCTTCAACAGATTATGAACTGGGTAATCCAGAACAGAGTAAATGGAATACTGTCTAGAAGACACATACCGTCCTACCAAGCAGAAATGCTGCAGTTGCGCCTAATGTAGCTCCAAGAGAGTCGGCAATAAATCCTACTGGCAGGCCAAAAAGATAACCTCCTCCAAGCTGCAGAGACCAAAATTTGGTATACAAATAAAGAAACACGGTTTATCAGGAAAAAGGGATGCTAAGTGTTGGCAATCTTTTCCAATTGCTTCGGTAAAAACTCAAGAATCCAAAACCTACCGTGAGCACAGAAGCAGGAACCGCCATAATTGTGAGAGGAATATATGCAATAGCCCTACAAAATCCAAGGACATAAATCACAAAAAGGCATACAATAGCATTCTTTTAGATGTCGACAACAAAAAAATGGTTTTATCCAGCATAAAGAAGCTTACAATGCAAATGGACCCCAAGGTCCCAAATCCTCCTTAATCCATAATAAAAAGTCCTTCAGTTTCTGCAGAAAGGGAACAAAAGAATGATCGGAGTCATAATGCATTGTATAAACTGGACAGCCGCCATTACTTTGATCCTTGAATACTTCTCTACAGCCAGGTCTAGCAAAGTTTTCCATGAACTTCATGCCATGAAGTTCATGGAGAATTAAATTTCGACAATGCAGCATCAGAGCATCACAATTTCCAAACTAAACTATAAATATCAAGCCAAGTGCATCTACACGAAGTTCCATCCAGTCATACTCAACGAGAATTCAGATAATCTCGTGCACACATTGCCACTAGAGATGCGGATACACATACAATTCATAAATGAGAGAGAGAGAGAGAGAGAGAGAGCGCTGAGAGATTGCCTGTTCGATGGGGAGGAAAGAACAAGCGGTGGCGAAGGCGGCGAGGACGAGCAGAGTGAGTGCGATCCGGAGAGCGGAGGGGGTGAAGGGGAGCGCCGCCATGTACAAGGATCTGACGCGACGGCGCCACCACGGCCTCGAGTGCTCGTCCTCGTCGGCGTCGTCCTCGTCCCGGCCTCCGATTGCACAAGCTCCTTGCTTCAGCAGCCACGGCCTCGCTCTCAGGCCCTCCACCTTCGCCAGATTTGACCTCCCAAACGCCAGCAAAAAAAAAAATCTCCTCCCCCAGAACCTCGATCTCAGAGAAATTCTTCCTTGGCCTTGCTCTATCTCTCTTCTCGGAAGGCGAAAAGGGAACTGTCTAGAGAGAGAGAGAGGAAAAATGGTGAAATCAAGAGAGAGGAATCCTTCGATTTCTTTCTACTGTTGATTTGACTTCTTCTCGTTGTAAAAACGTCCTTTTCGCGCACTCGTGCTCTCTTTTTGTTGGGCTCAGTTTGGGCTTTTATAAAGGCCCATAAGGCCCAAATTCATAAACTAATTAATTAAATGAAAACTAATTTATTTATCTAATCCTCGTGTTTCTCACTAATGGTTACACCCGGTGGAGGTTAGACCAAATCATGTTGTAAACATATCAAATGATAGTTTGATTTATTTATATTTGGTTAATAAATCGCATCACAGACAAAAAAAAAACGCATGTTGGATGCTGACGTGTCAGGTGGTCATGTATCCACCGTATCAACTCGTTCGTCGTCTTCTTCTTCTCTCACTCCCTCTCCTCTCTCACAAAGCACCGCTCACACCAGAAGACACTCTTCTTCTGCTCTGTCTCTGTTCTACGAGGGTGACGACGAGGTCGAGGTTGAGAGAAACGACAACAATGCTTTTGGTGAACGCGGTGGCTCTGGCTCGAGCCGCGGTCTCGCCGAACAGCTTCGTCTTTGAAGCCGATGACATCGAATTCGGTTCTCCGTGGTGGTTCGTCTTCGTCGGCATCTCGTGCATTCTCGTCCTCTTCGCCGGAATCATGTCGGGACTCACTCTCGGCCTCATGTCCCTCGGCCTCGTCGAGCTTGAGATCCTCCAGAGGAGCGGCTCCTCCACCGAGAAGAAGCAGGCCGGTACGTCTTCGCCACTATTTCTGTCTTCTCACCGGATTTCTCTTTGCTTTTCTTTTGGTCGGTTTCCATGGTTAATCTCGTGAAAGGCCGAAATTTTCATCCACTTCTCTGTATTTGAAATGAATCGTGGTACATGCGAATGTCTGAGAGTTTTTGTTTGATGATTGTTCGATTCCTATTGTTGCAGTGGAAACCATTGTTTCCTAATTTAGACCCTTGTGTTGATTTGATCGACTCGTTCAATTTCTACGCATCATTGCAGTAAAACGTCGTGAGTTCTTCATGTTTGTTAATATTCTGCAATTTGGCTGTAGCCCAAGTTATGAAATTCTCATTTTTTTTAAAAAAAAGATTTTTTTTTGAAGCTCTTAGTTTGTGTTGGATCTGCAGCTGCTATCTTACCAGTGGTTCAGAAGCAGCATCAACTTCTTGTGACTTTGCTACTATGCAATGCGGCTGCAATGGAGGTTTGCTTACCTGATTCATTGTTTTTCTTTCCTGGTTTTCGATGCAAAGTTACTAAGTTTGATGCAACATAGGATTCAGGTGAATGACATAAAGACATGCAGAGTTGCTTATATTGTGCTTGATGCTTTTGATTCTCTTGACACAGGCCCTTCCTATATGCCTTGATAAGATATTCCACCCCTTTGTGGCTGTTTTACTTTCAGTTACTTTTGTTCTTGCGTTTGGGGAGGTAATCTTTCTCTATCACTTTTCTTCTCGGTGTTCATTTTCCTGTTCAGCGGTTTCCATCTACATATGGTAACATTTATGATGTGGGTTTTGGACCAGATTATCCCACAAGCTATATGCTCGAGATATGGACTTGCTGTTGGTGCAAACTTCTTGTGGCTGGTTCGTGTTTTGATGATAATCTGCTACCCGATTGCTTGCCCTATTGGAAAGGTTAGCATTTCATGCTAGAATCACAATAAACATTGTGGACCCTTTTTTTGTCAGGTTGCTGTAGAGCAGACAGATCGCATCATGACTTTTGTCTAAAACATAAATGCATTATGGTAAGAACTGACAGCCGTGTGAGCACGTTGAGAATTGCATTAGTTTTAGCAAGATATTGTTATAAGATGGAGATTGTTGCAGCAGCTAACCGCATTTGTCAGAATCACCTAAACAAATAAATGCATCTATTCTTGTCAGCTTCTGATGGATTGACAATCTAATTCTTCATAGATCAATTCAATGTGTTGGCCATAATGCAGCTTTAGATGATTTTTACTTAAGAAAAGTTCATATGCTCTCAGGTTCTAGATGCTGTAATTGGACATAATGACACACTCTTTAGGCGAGCTCAACTGAAAGCGCTTGTCTCAATTCACAGTCAGGAGGTAGTTTCTGTCCATGATCTAATCAATTTAATCCATGAGAGAAAGAGACATGCACAATGTTTTATTTCCATCTGTTCTTTTAAGTAATAAAGTTTCTTCCTTATGGGAAGTTTTTGTTTTCAGCTTCCACTGATTTTTCGTTTATCTACAACATAGGCAGGTAAGGGCGGTGAACTCACCCATGATGAGACAGCGATTATAAGTGGAGCTTTGGATTTGAGCGAAAAGGTAGCTATTTGAGCTTTGGAGAATCTACTTTTTGGAACTGATAATTATTTTGATTTGAATGAAACATTCAGCTTAAATGGAATGTTTTAGATACTTCTAGATGACTTTAAACATCATGTATGCTATGATATCTTTCTTTGGAAATTATTTATGATGATAAAGTTTCTCTATGCTGTTATGTAATTTCAGACCGCAGAGGAGGCTATGACTCCAATTGAGTCAACATTTTCCCTGGATGTAAATACAAAGATAGACTGGTGAGTTAAGCTTCGACGTGCCATCTCTCTTGGAAAAGTTCAAAATGAAAAATGATTTACACATTTTCTTTTTTTGCTGGGACTAGTGGCAACCAGCTTCAAAATGATTATGAGGTGGAAGATAGTTGTTTTTTTTACTATCCTCTAGTGAAAATTTGAAAAATGGCAGATTGGTCATGGATTTCACCTTCTAAATGCAGGGAAGCAATCGGAAAAATCCTTGCCCGAGGTCATAGCCGAATCCCGGTCTACTTGGGAAATCCAAAAAATATCATTGGGCTTTTATTGGTATACTCTTGGCAAACCAGAATCTTTCGCGTTTCCTGTTTCATATAGACTTGTCAGAATGGCAGACTTATGTCTCTGTTGTTATCCAGGTTAAGAGTCTTCTAACTGTAAGAGCGGAGACAGAGACACCCGTTAGTTCTGTTTCCATCCGGAAGATTCCGAGGTATATTGCTCATTAGATTATCTGTCCCATGATGTGTAATAAGAATAAGTAGTTCCCAATCCCTTGGATCTGCAGGGTTCCATCAGACATGCCATTGTATGATATCCTCAATGAGTTTCAAAAGGGAAGCAGTCACATGGCTGCAGTTGTCAAAATCAAAGAGAGAAAGAGCATTCAGTCGCTGAGTAATGGGGAAATGCCTGAAGGAAAAACAAATGCATATATGAATAGTTGTCTAAAAGCTCCTTTGCTAAAGCATGTGGATGGATCAAAAGGCGTTGTTGTCGACATTGATAAAGTCTCGAAGAACGTAAAAAGTAAGGGAAGAAACAAGAACTCCCTGTATACGTTGGAGGATACCGAGGATGCAGAAGTGATTGGAATCATCACGTTGGAAGATGTTTTCGAAGAACTTCTTCAAGTATGAACTTCTGTTTTTCATAACCCAGAATTCCGGTATTCTTTTTCTTGACCTGAAACATCTAATCTCTCCTCCATGTATTTGCCACAAGTTTGAAAAATAGTGTTCTTTGTTTTTGGTGTTTGCAGGCAGAAATTGTCGATGAAACAGATGTGTATGTCGATGTGCATAGAAGGTATGTATATATACGTTCTGTTCCGTGCCCTCCTCTCTGTTTGCTGTTACAAAGATCGGGAAAGGCTCAGAGAAAAATGCCGAAATCACTGTCTTGATTGCTCTGCAGGATACGAGTGGCTGCAGCTGCGGCCGTGTCGTCCATCGTTCGTGCTCCAACTTCATGGCGTCCGAATACTCAGAAATCTGTGGTGAGAAACGATGATTGAAAAGGGGGAATTGCAGAGTTGGTAACTCGAAGTGTTTTTTTTTTAAAGTTTCATGTTCTGATATGGCATAGTTCTTGCAGGGGAATCAAAGCAAGACAGGACAGACTCGAAATACCTTGTATCCTACGGATATGGCGGAGCCTCTTGTTGCAGCCAACTAGTTTCAGTGTCGGCTGATCAGGACAGGACAGGACTGGACAGGACAAACCACCCTCGTTTATTTCCACTGTAGTCTTCTTCTCGTGTTTCTTTTGGTGTACACAATGGATAAAGAGAAGCGCAGAGAGAGAGAGAGAGGCTAAGTATAGGTCGGTGTTACTTGCATGTCTTCCGTATGGTGAATAATATTAAATAATCCGAAGAAAATTGCCTTTTTGAATTGAGATTTTTTCTCCTCGCTTTTATGCTTTGTTTGTATTTAAATCCACGTGGAATAGGGAATTGTCGACCGTTCAATAGCATTATACGCATGCCCGAAAGGCCGAAACCTCCGTCAAGAAATCCACGTTGGTGATCGAAGTCCACAATGACGAAATTACCCTCGTAGAAAGTGAGAAATTACATCTTAACCCCAATTCCTTAGCCGCGTAAGATTCCTCCTCTCTTAAAACCCAACCCTTTTTTTTCTTGGGAAACAAACAGCCATTTTTCTCTCTCTCGTACTCTCTGCAAGCCTCCCATCGAAACCCTTGAGAAAATCGACGAAAACGATCAGACTCAAGCTCTTCTCTTTGGTGAATCACTGTAATTTCTTTTGTGGTTCCATTTTTTTTTATTAAATTCTCCGTGTTAGATGATCCGGCGACCATCGTTTTCTCTTTCGATCAATCCAATGTGATTATCTCCAATTTTCGTATTCTATTCGTACAAATTCTGGGGAATTCGAATTTTTTGTTATTCCGTTGCCCGTGTTGTTATGATCATGAAAAGACGAGTAATTAGGGTTTGGCGTCCGCCTGAAAAAACTAGACTTGCGTTGAGCTATCTCTGTTATACGTCTTGATTATTTGATGCAGCATGAGATAAAGCTTCGTTCTTTTGTGCATCCCCTCGTACGAGAAAGCTTTTCGTATAGTTTTCAGTTTCAGTTTTCCTTGTTAGTGTTTTTGCTTAATTAACCACTGTTTCTTCAACTATAAGTTTAAAATTGCTAGTAAGTTTAATGTTTTACAATAAGTAGAGTATCCAGAGCGCTTCTCATCTATTTTTGTTGTCTTTTTTTCTTGCAAAAAAAGTTAGGGATCTTAAGCATCAGCGAAGAAGAAGAACAACCTCTTATTGTCGTACTGCTGCATCAACGTTAACCGAAACTAATCATTTGCTTGTTCTCTGCAGATTTGATTTGCCTTAACTGATGGGTTTCAATTCGGTATATCGATCTTTAATGGAGATTTTTCCTCAGGTAATATGCCTTATCTTTACCTCTTTATTTCTAAGTCCTGTTTAGTTGTAGTCACGGGGCTACAAGGAGCAGTCTTATGTGATTTTCAAAACTGGAAGTAGTTTCCCTGTTAATCTCAATATATGTTTCGTGAAGATTGCTGTATTTATAGAGTGAGCGTGCTTTATTAAATTATCTGTCCGTGATGTTCCTTTTGTCAGGTGGGTTTAATGACTGAGATTATTATTTCAACTTTAGCCTAGAAATCTTATGAAAAAAAGCGATGACTAATAAAAGTTGGAGAGGTTAAATAAACATTTATGGGATAGAAAATACACAAGGCCTAATTTTGATTAGCTGCAGTGGCTTTTTCATTTGGTGTTTTCTAACTAATCCAGTGATTTATTTTAAATTTCAGTTCAAGCCATTCATATGTAATAAAATGTAATGCAGGTTGATGCACGGATTTTAAGGGCAGTTGCAATTGAGCATCCAAAGGATGCTGATGAAGCTGTGGGGGTAGTTCTTTCAGAGATTGTTCCTTCCTTGCCATCGAATTTGGCATGTAAGAACAAGTCGTCCAGAAGTTCACCTGACAATGGAGGTGAAACTTTACCCTCCTTGAAAATCTCAATCTTTTTGGACTTTGAGTTAAGCGTCACATGTCATTTTATTTTGAGATTTCTTATCACTCCTGGACTAGCACCGTTGTGTTCCCAAGAATATTGGCATATGATTCATTGGCGTTGATAAAATACTATTTAAAAATGTAGCAGAACATGAGACAGAATATGGTGAATTGAAAGTTGAAACGCTGTTGTGTTTAAATGGTATCTATATCAAATTCTAGTGTTTCTTCTTCAGGAACAATCCCTCTGGTCGTCGATTCTGACAACAATATAACTGCTGCATGTACTGAATCAGTGTCTACTCTGAACAAGGTATGGAATATGCCTCTGAGTGCTAATAACAATGCATTCCATAGATATGCTAGAGACAAGGATGAGAAATGTTCCAGAAAAGTCCATGAGTATTATTGACCATGATTTATGAGCTAGTTGTTTTAATTCTCAGGGTGATCAAATGGATGAGTGCCTATCCAAGCAGAAAAATTCCATTCCTCCTCGGGGATGCACCAAATCTCACCGATGCCGCAAATGCTGTCCAGTCCCATATGAAGCCAAAACTCTGGATATTTCGGGCGAATTGGGGGTTTATAAAACCACAGTTGCCACTACAGTGGCTGTTGCTCCTGAAAGTATCCAATTGATCGACAATGGTTGGCAAGATCTTGATTCTAATAGAGCTGGTAAATTTAACGTGGATGGTTACGAATCACACCACCAAGCAGAATCAAGCTCAAGCGCCAGCTCAGAAAATCCTGTGCATAAGCTGGTAGTTTTAAATCTCGGGGAGCATTCAGCAAACGCTCAGCAAATTTCTGGAAGTTCAAATATTACCCAGGAGACATCTAATGGTTCATTGACCAGTGAAAATGGTGATGCTGAGTTGGGCGGTCCTTTTAGTGCTATTATTAACAGATCTAATGAAGCATGCAGCATTGATCACCTCGAAGAGATCATCGAAGATGCTAAAAGTAACAAGGTATCTTGGCATATATTTTGAATGGTCTTCAACCCTGTGAAAATAATAATTTTCTCACTTACATGAATTGGAGTAGTGTGTTCTCCCTCTCTCACCGAACATAATTTCTTTTGATTATGCAATGGTGTAGAAAACCCTGTTCGCTGTGATGGAGTCTGTTATGAATCTGATGAGGGAAGTTGAAGTTCAAGAGAAGGATGCAGAAAAAGCAAAGAAGGAATCTGCTTTGGGAGGTCTCGATACTCTTAACAAGGTTGAGGAGCTCAAGAAGATGCTAGAGCACGCGAGGGAGGCAAACGACATGGTCATTGTTTTTGCTGAGAAATGTAGCTTTAATATGTTCTGATCATATATGTGAACTTATTATCTTCTATGTTGCAGCATGCTGGAGAAGTATATGGGGAGAAGTCAATTTTGGCTACTGAAGTGAAGGAGCTTGAGAATCGATTGCTCAACTTGTCAGAAGAACGTGACAAATCTCTTGCTATTCTCGATGAGGTACGTTGATGGTTACATGCTTAGATGCAACCCTACAAGCTCTCCCCCTGCATTTTTATTAGGATTTAATTCTTTGATATTGCACAACTTTCTGTTAAATTCATTTGCAGCTCCATCCATCCATCCATCTTGGGCAAGCTATGTACTATTGTTAATTGAAATTATTGTCCGATTACCACAGCCTCGATCTGCACAGAGATGGGGCTTATTGTGTATGGGGCTTATTGTGTTTTTTCGTTGTTATTTTAGATGCGTGAAGTGCTTGAAGCAAGACTTGCAGCTGCTCTGGAGATGAAAAAAGCTGCTGAACAAGAAAATCATGAGAAAGAAGATTATGCAAAGAAGGCATTTGCTGAGCAAGAAGCAATCATGGAGCAAGTTGTCAAAGAGTCAAAGCTTCTACAGCAGGAGGCTGAGGAAAATTCCAAGGTAGCAATAACTGTACTACATCTACATGTGACGTAAAATGTTCTGAAATCTCACCTCGTTAACTTGTCTTATTCTCTGGGTTGCAGCTGCGTGAATTTCTTATGGATCGTGGTCAGATCGTTGATTCTTTACAGTAAGTTCTATTCATCCGTCATTACTAGCTTTCCTGTTTAGTTATGTCACTAAAAGCCTCTCGAGTTGTGGCAGATTTTTCGGTATGGAGTAGTAAACAAGTAGTTTTAGCCGATCTTGTCTTACTAGGTGAAACTAATATACTTACTTTGGAATTGGGCAGAGGAGAGATTTCTGTTATATGCCAAGATGTCCGACTGTTGAAAGAGAAATTTGATGAGCGAGTACCACTGAGCCAATCGATCTCCTCGAGTCAGACCAGTTGCAGACTGGCTTCCTCTGCATCATCACTGGTAAACCTGTTGGATAAGTCTGGTCCTGAGCCATCATCCTACGAGAAACCCATGATCCTTGGCAACAAGGAGGACGCAGTGCCGGCAGCCTCCCCATTGAACAAGGAAGCAGACGATGACAAAGAGCTTTTGGAGGATGGTTGGGACATTTGTTGACAAGCATCGACCCAGAAGCAAGTCAGTGAGGGCAGTGAGTGTACATAAGAAGCTCTTTATATATAGTACGCAATAAGGGATTTTCTTCACGATTAAACAATGGTTTTGTTCTAGAAGTTTATTTTTCTCTGCCTCCATATGGCACAGACTGATCTTGTGTTTGCTTGTCTATATGATTATATATGATCTAGTGAGCTTTGGCTGTTTCTTCTCTCGTGTAAAGCAGAGCTAATGGTTTTAGGAAATAGAGAGACCTTTACGAATCTCCAGCATACGCAAGCAAAGGGGTCTGTCTTGCTCTGTTTGATGCTGGAAACTGTTTCTGATGGAGAAAAGCCGAAAATTTTATCTATCTTTTTGGTAGAACCGAGAAAATATATGTGAAATTATTAAACATGGGGTCCAAGTTCACCATGGAGGGGGGTGTTGTGAAGGGAAGGGTCTTGATAGGAGGGGAGAGGGAGCACTAATTTTAGGGAAGAAGAGAGAGAGAGAATTTAGCTGGAGAACAACGGTCTGTCTTCTTTGCCGCCACATTGTCTTCCTCGAGACCGTACGATACAGAGATGAGGTCCACAAGAATCTTCAAAGCCAGCGATTTCGCATCTTCTCAATATTTGGAATTCTCCTTTCCCGCACATCATTCTCCAGGGAATCAAACACGCCCTCTCTGGTAACATTGGCTCTCTCCTTTCCTCTCTCTCTCTCCTTTTTTTTCTCTTCTTTGAATGTATGATCTCTTAATGCCGAGAATGATGGGTAAATTACTTAGAGATGAAATCTTCTAGCTTTAATTTTTCATTCCACAGGATTCGACCAGAATAAGGCATGTAATTTTTCTTGTTTGCTCTGGCCATGGGTTTTTTACCACATTGCTTATGTATTGATGTTACAGTGCCGAAAAATATAATCTTTGGAAATTGTTCTCAAGGAAGATCCTTTTATCATTTTTTTTTTCATTTTGTGTGACGTAAATCACATTCTGTAGATGTCTTTCTCAAAATTATTTGTCTTTAAACCACAGCTTTAAGGTTATCTGTAATTCTGGAGAAAGGAGATGGCTTCACTGCAAGATATTGGTATTTCAGCAGCTATAAATCTGCTTTCAGCGTGTGCATTCCTGATTGCATTTGCCATCCTGAGGCTTCAGCCGGTTAATGATAGAGTTTACTTCCCGAAATGGTATCTCAAGGGGATTCGAGGAAGCCCAAGACGCTCCAGAGGGGTTGTTACCAGATTCGTGAATTTGGATTGGAGAACTTACATAAGGTTTCTGAACTGGATGCCTGCTGCATTGAAAATGCCTGAACCTGAGCTCATTGAACATGCAGGGCTTGATTCTGCTGTCTATATTCGCATTTACCTTCTCGGGTAATCACACTTTGTGGCCTATACGCTTCTTATTTCATTTTTTGTGTGTTTTTAAAGCCTATAGTGACAAGAATCCTCAAGTAACTTGCTCTGGCTGCATTAAGAATTAGTATTTTTTTTTTCTCTGGAAATCTTTCTGATGAGACACAATCATGTTTACCAGTTGTTTAGTTTATGAGTCACATCCATGTTCTGTATTGTCTCCAATCCATAGGGTAATAATGTGATAGTTGATTTGCAGGTTAAAGATGTTTGTCCCGATATCAATACTAGCTTTTGGTGTCCTGGTTCCGGTCAATTGGACAGGAGGAACACTGGAAAATATCAAGGACTTGACTTTCAGTAATGTAGACAAGCTGTCTATATCAAATGTGCCGCCCGGATCACCGAGGTATTGGATGAATATGGTGATGCATAAATAAGCAGTTTTTGTTTGTGGAAATATGTCTCTACTCTTAGCGATTGGAGTTCTAGATTCTGTTAAATTCTTAGATGCGAACTCCCAAGATAGAAGTGAAGCATTTATTTGACTCTGATCCTCGAGTTACAGGCAACGTGATTTATACTCAAAATGGGATTCATTCTCCATGCATGGATGTTGATTGTATACAAACATACTCTGTTCAAAGCATTATGACGATGGTCAGTGTAAGATTTAATCAATTCATTTGTCTGGTTCTAGGTTTTGGGCACATTTGATTATGACATATGTGTTCTCAATTTGGACTTGTTACACGCTATATATGGAATATAAGACTGTTGCTACTATGAGATTGAGGTATCTTGCAGCTGAAAAGCGTCGCCCTGATCAATTCACGGTGAGTTAACTTACTTTTATGGCATCCGTATGTTCCATGCTCTGTAACGTCTTTTATCCTCTCCCATATCAGTGGTTTCCAATACAACTTTGAACAAAGATATAACCAACACAATTTCTGTTTCCATTTAAGAACTACAGTTTGGATATGTCTGGTTCCCTGTTGAAGCTCGTGACATGGGAACCAGGCATATCCAAAACTGTAATTCTTAAATGGAAACAGAGATGATTCTGAGTTTTGCTGCATGTTATTCACTCTTGTTCTCTGTTACTTTACAAGTCATCGCCATTAATGGCTTCTGCAGGTTCTTGTGAGAAATGTGCCTCCAGATCCTGATGAATCAGTTAACGAGCATGTTGAGCACTTTTTCTGTGTAAATCATCCGGACCATTATCTTAGTCATCAGGTATCTTTCCATAGTCGTTTGTTAGTGACCAATGTGGTACGGGATTCGTGATTTACTGTCTTGATGTGAGGTTCTACATTTGTGGCTTGGCCACCTAAAAACAGCGTATTGGATCTCTGCTGTTGTGTTCCCAGATTGTGTACAACGCAAATGAACTTGCAAAATTAGTCTCCCAGAGAAAAACTTTGCAAAATTGGTGGACTTACTACCAGAACAAGTACGACAGGAACCCGTCCAAGAGGCCCACAACAAAGGTATTTTCCCGTGCAACATTGTTTAGACTAAGAGAGAACTTCTCTAAACTATATATCATGATTCTCTTCAGTAGTTATTTAATTTGTATATAGACAGGTTATGGAGGTTTTTGGGGGACTACGGTGGATGCAATCGACTACTATGATGCTAAGATCCAGGATCTGGCTGAAAAGGTGTGTGCTTTTATGTACTATACAAACTGTAATTACATTTTTGCAGTTGTACATTGTTTCCACCTTCAGTTAATCAATTTCTTGGACCATCATATTTACTGGGCGGACCAGGGTTTCTTTCTCTGACGTACGTGTAAATTTTACATGTATAGGAGGCCGCAGAAAGGCAAAGAGTTTTGAATGATACAAAGGCTATAGTTCCTGCAGCATTTGTATCGTTCAAATCGAGATGGGGAGCGGCTGTTTGTGCTCAAACTCAGCTATGTCATAACCCTACAATATGGTTGACCGAGTGGGCTCCTGAACCACGTGACATTTTCTGGGATAACCTCTCTATCCCATATGTCGAGCTCACTATAAGAAGACTGCTTATGGCAATTGCTCTTTTCCTTCTTGTTTTCTTCTTCATGATTCCCATAGCATTCGTTCAGTCTCTTGCCAACATTGAAGGGATCCAGAAAGTTTTCCCGTTCTTGAAACCCTTAATAGACATGTAAGTTCACATTTCTCTCTCTCTCTCTCTGTTTATCTATGTAGATGGGTATATTGCCTTAGCTGCATTTAACTTTTGTCGGTCATGTTATTTAATGTTCAATCAATATGAATACCCAGATCATTTTCTTTGGATAGTCATGCTTATACTATTTTCCGAGTTATGATCTCAACTTGTGTTCATATGCAGGAAGACCGTGAAGTCTGTAATCCAAGGATTTCTTCCAGGAATAGCCTTGAAGATCTTTCTTATCTTACTTCCAACGATTCTAATGACAATGTCGCAAATTGAAGGATATACATCGTTGTCCTATTTAGATAGAAGATCAGCCGAGAAATACTTCTGGTTCATAATTGTCAATGTCTTTCTTGGAAGCATTATTACTGGAACGGCGTTTCAGCAGCTCAAGTCTTTTCTCGAGCAGCCACCTACGGAGTAAGCACTAGGCTGTTTTCTCTGATCCAAATTTCGAAACCCCCACATGTTTAGAGCGATATTTCTTCGTCGTGAAAGTATATATTGACTGTATTGCCAAGAGATTTCTTTTTTATACATTTAGATATGACAAAACGGATTGATCTTGAGATTTTTTTATGTTTCACAACAGGATCCCGAAAACAGTCGGTGTTTCAATCCCGATGAAAGCTACATTCTTCATCACGTATGTCATGGTTGACGGTTGGGCTGGCGTTGCGGCTGAGATTCTCAGATTGGTGCCATTGATAATATTCCATCTGAAAAACACATTTTTGGTTAAGACAGAACAAGACAGGCAACAAGCCATGGATCCGGGACATCTGGACTTCTCTATATCTGAACCCCGGATTCAGTTCTATTTCTTGTTGGGGCTCGTTTACGCTGCTGTTACCCCCATACTTCTTCCCTTCATTATCGTCTTCTTCACCTTCTCCTACATTGTATTCCGACATCAGGTTCTTAAGCTAAAAGTATTCCTCTCAATAAACTGTACCATGTTGCTTTACAAACTCGATATATAATTCTCTTCTTGTGGTTATTTGCCAGGTTATAAATGTGTATGACCAAAAGTACGAGAGCGGGGCTAAATACTGGCCGAGCGTACATAGGCGTTTGATCATATGTCTTCTAATATCTCAGCTGCTAATGATGGGTTTGCTTAGCACAAAGAAACTAGCAATGGCAACAGCTATGCTTCTCCCTCTGCCTATCTTAACCATCTGGTTCAACAGATACTGTGCCGGCCGGTTTGAATCCGCCTTCTCCAAGTTTCCATTGCAGGTCAGTCAAGCACTTGCAGTCAAAAATTTCACCCGAACTGTTTTGAATGACTCTTGGCCCGTTGCATATATATGTAGGAAGCGATGGTGAAGGACACGCTGGAGAAAGCAACGGAACCGAATCTGAATCTGAAGGAATATCTGAGAGGTGCATATGTGCACCCGATGTTCAAGGGTCAGGAGATGGACCGACCACAAGTTGTGGACGAGGAGGAGAGTAACCCTCTTGTCCCGACCAAGAGGACGTCTCAAAGTACGAGTCGGTATGCCTCGGAAGCTAACAGTGCTGCAGCTACTCCTACAGACAAACACCATACCTCTTCTTCTGCTATCATGTAAACTCCCTCCCACTCTTGTCTCTCTGTTCTGTCTCTTATGTCTCTGCTGCATGGTGTTTGCTTATGGCAGAAGAAGCTTTTGTTTGTGGGGAGTGATCTTTTGAAGCAAATTTTTGTTCATCTTGATTCGTTACTGTTCACACACACACGCACTAGTTCAGCTTTGTAACAGGAATTCTTTTGTTTTTTCGTTAAAGTTTGTAACTTTAAACTATGGAATGCACGATGAGATGTTTCTATTATCAAAATGTGAATTTCATGATCTTGTTGGATTGCATCCATGGTTCAAAGTCTTGCATTATTACAAATCTGATATAAACGTGAAGAATTTTACTCAACACAAATCTAGTAAGTTACCCACCAATCTGGCAGGGACTTTCTCTGGTTTGGCCCAGAAAATGCACCATTTGAAATGTCTTGAAATCAATGCTGTTCTGTTGGAGCCAATATTCTCATTCAATAAGCAAAAGGGCACTTATTTCCCATTTCATTTTTTTTCACCAATGGACATATATGGACCTTCCAATACACTTGAATCCGCCAATAATGCAATGAAGGAGATGGTGAAGAAATTCCACAGCCATGGAATAGAGGTACTCCTGGAAGTGGTTTTTACCCATACTGCTGATTCTGGAGCTCTGCATGGAATTGATGATGGTTGTTATTATTACAAGGGAAGTGCCAAGGATCTAGATTCTAAGAGTCTGCTGAACTGTAACCATCCAGTTGTCCAGCAGTTGATACTGGAGAGTCTGCGTTATTGGGTGACCGAGTTTCATGTGGATGGCTTCTCGTTCTTGAATGCTTCGTCTCTCTTGAGAGGGGTTAATGGTGAACAGCTCTCCCGTCCTCCATTGGGTAGGGAAATAACAAAATCCTTAATACGACGTCGTTTTCGGGTTTTTAGTGTTTTATTTCAATCTGAATCCAAAAAGGCACAAACCTGGGCGGTCCGTTGAGGAATCTATAAATTCGAAGAAAGACGACAAATTTTCACGAAAAATCAATCATAAACTCACGGACTCAGACACACACTCACGGTTATCAAATGGGTATTTCAGATTTCTCTCCATCGAGGTGTCGGAAGCCCCAACAGACCATTTCTGCTTCAATGGCGGTGATTCGACGGTACCTCTCTCTCTCTCCTCCTATTTTTTTTTCTGGGTTATTTCTTCCTAAAGTTTCCAGATCTTGTTACTGGGTAATGTAATTTTTAGCTTACGCCGAAATGTTCGTCGTGGATTTTGACTTTTTAGTTCTGCAAAGATGTCTGAACTCTTGATCGGTGTGATGATTAGAGAGTATTTCGGAAAAAAAGGTTACAACTTGCGGAGGTTGTCTTTGAGGTTTGTTTAGCTGCAAAACTTAACATTAAGATCGTGAAAAGATTCATAATTGAGATCTTTATGAGAGAAAACTACCTCTTTGATTACCGCCTTGATCCACTCGCTAGTCTTGGGTGCTTCTGCGTTGCTTGATCATCATTCTTCTTGTGTGATCTCTCGAGCTTTCATCACGGCATGATTTGAGTGATTTTTTTGGTTAATATTGGTGTGTCTTATAGCCAATTCAATAGCATTTTTTTTAAAATTCTCTTTCCCGTATAGATCAGTTGCTCATTCTTGCCTTTCAGGGATATTCATTGCCAGGATTTGTAACGTGCAGCGGATAAGCTATCTGGATCACGGCAGAACCTTTTCTTGGACATCTGAAAGGTTGTTTACTTTGTTGATAAATGGCTGCTTGTTTGTTATCACTTGGGATTGGATCCTGGTGTCTTAACAGCGGTATCATTAGGACGGGGACACTCCCCACTGCCAGTTTTACTGGTAGAAATAAGTTTAAATTTGAGCCAAAGGCATTGGTAGTTTCTGGAATACGTTTCTCGGGAAATCTGGAAACAAAGGCAAGCAAGATCGGTGCCACAAAAGCCTCTTCTATCGAACTGACTGAACGGGTTTCTACTAGCGCCCAGGTCGATCAGCTAAAAAAGGCTACATCTTATCTATTCAGGACAAAGTCCGGAGCACTGGTAAACGTTAAAGTTGAAAAGAAAAAAGAAAGCTATGGTATCACGGTTTATGTCTCGTCTTTGCAACTTAGTGATAATGACAGCAGACTGGTGATGGTTTGGGGTGTATACAGGTCTGATTCTTCATGTTTCTTGCCACTGGAGTTCCAAGATTCGGAAACCCAGACAACAGAAACCCCATTTCTGAAAAACTCCTCGACCGATTTGATGGTGGGGCTGGAATTTGACGGGAAAGAATCACCTTTTTACCTATCGTTTGTTCTGAAATTCATGTCAGAAGGTCGTCCGAATGGCCTAGAGATTAGGAGCCACAGGGACTCCAACTTTTGTGTCCCAGTTGGTTTCAGTGCCGGTCATCCGTTGCCATTAGGCCTGTCTTTTGAGACAGAGGGCTTGTTGAATTTCTCATTCTTCTCAAGACATTCTAAAGGTGTGATTTTGTGTTTATATGATGACAGCACAACAGATAAACCTGCTTTAGAGCTCGATCTCGATCCATATGTCAACCGAACAGGTGATGTTTGGCATGCTTCCGTGGAAAATACTTGGAATTTTGTGAGGTACGGGTACCGTTGCAAGGAGAATGCTCATCTGGAAGAAACTAATGTGAAGGCTGAGCAAATTCTTTTGGATCCTTACGCCAAAATCATTACGGAATCTGTTTCTGATAGTTATTATCTCGGAAGCTTGTTACAGGAACCTGCTTTTGACTGGGGTGACGATGCTTGCCTTAACATACCATTGGAGAAACTTGTGGTTTACCGGCTGAACGTGAAGAATTTTACTCAACACAAATCTAGTAAGTTACCCACCAATCTGGCAGGGACTTTCTCTGGTTTGGCCCAGAAAATGCACCATTTGAAATGTCTTGAAATCAATGCTGTTCTGTTGGAGCCAATATTCTCATTCAATAAGCAAAAGGGCACTTATTTCCCATTTCATTTTTTTTCACCAATGGACATATATGGACCTTCCAATACACTTGAATCCGCCAATAATGCAATGAAGGAGATGGTGAAGAAATTCCACAGCCATGGAATAGAGGTACTCCTGGAAGTGGTTTTTACCCATACTGCTGATTCTGGAGCTCTGCATGGAATTGATGATGGTTGTTATTATTACAAGGGAAGTGCCAAGGATCTAGATTCTAAGAGTCTGCTGAACTGTAACCATCCAGTTGTCCAGCAGTTGATACTGGAGAGTCTGCGTTATTGGGTGACCGAGTTTCATGTGGATGGCTTCTCGTTCTTGAATGCTTCGTCTCTCTTGAGAGGGGTTAATGGTGAACAGCTCTCCCGTCCTCCATTGGTGGAAGCCATAGCTTTCGATCCACTGCTTGCGAAAACCAAGTTGGTTGCTGATTGCTGGGATCCCCATGACATGACAGCGAAGGAAATACGTTTCCCTCATTGGAAGAGATGGGCAGAAATCAATTCAATATTTTGTTACGACGTAAGGAACTTCGTGAGGGGTGGAGGTCTTCTGAGTGATCTTGCAACGCGACTTTGCGGGAGCGGTGACATAGTCACTGGTGGTGGAAGAGGTCCGGCTTTCTCTTTCAATTTCATTGCGAGAAATTCCGGGCTCTCTGTAGTGGACTTAGTTAGCTTTAGTGGACACAAGCTAGCTTCTGAACTAAGTTGGAACTGTGGTGAAGAAGGACCAACCAATAAATCTGCTGTTCTTGAAAGAAGGTTGAAACAAATTCGCAATTTATTGTTTATAGAGTACATTTCCCTGGGAATTCCAGTCCTCAACATGGGGGATGAATGTGGTCTCTCTGCCGGGGGCTCACCTCTGTATGAATCCCGAAAGCCCTTTGATTGGAACATGCTAACTTCGCCATTCGGCAGGCAGATCACTCAATTCATCTCCTTCATGACTTCACTGAGATCAAGGAGAAGTGATGTGTTCCAAAGGAGAAGCTTCTTGAAACCCGAGAATATCGAGTGGTATGCAAGTGACCAATCAACTCCCAGATGGGAAGATCCGGCTTCCAAGTTCTTGGCCATGGCTATCAAAGCAGAGGCAGAAGAAGAAGAAGAAAACCAGTCATTAGCTGATCCAAAGGGCAATCTCTTCATTGGGTTCAATGCAAGTGATCAGTCTGAAAATGTTATCTTGCCTTCACTCCCGGAAGGAAAGGAATGGCAGCGGTTGGTAGACACATCCCTTCCATTCCCGGGGTTTTTCTCAGACAAAGGTGTGGCTGTTGCAGAGCAGATGCCGGGACTTGTTGTCTATGAGATGAAGCCGTACAGTTGCACCCTCTTTGAAGGCAGCAGTCCTAATGCTTAGAACTAGCATCTGCCATTAGTTTTCCATTCACTTTTTGTGTATCTATCTGTATGGCATATTTGATGAAACAATCATGTCCATCATATTTGTAGATTCTGATATATGTGTATATACGTTTCTCTGCAGATATTCTCTCCCATATCCAAACTTCCATACTCGGAGTCGAATATATGGCCTCTAGTCTAAGCCCTCCTTAAACAATGCAGAAAATCTGAATCAGTGATGAGATTATTAGTTGTATCCAAGGAACATTCCTTTTATGGGCATATATATATACATATATGTGTGTGTGTGTAAAGGACAATAAATGGGATAAAGATTTTCTCCAAGATTTAAGAATCATGACGCAAACCCTTTCTGGTTAGTACATGCATGCAGGCCTAAAAATTCTCAAGGTTCTTAGGGTTTCGTGGTTCGACGGTGGATCCTGTCAGTACGATATTTGTTTGTTCATATATTCTTTTGATTTCGTTCCCCACTCTCTTCCATTGTTTTGCGAAGAATGAGATTTTATCTGTCGTGATAAGCAGATTCCCAATCCGAAAATGGACGACAGTCGCTGCTGTTCTTGTCGGGCCAAAGCAGAGAGTAGGAGGAAGAAGAAGGAAATCAATGGTGAATTCTTTCCCCTGCAATATTTTCTCATGAACTTAAAGAGTTATCGATCTCATGTTCTGAGTTTGGTTGCTTTCCATTGAACAGAGATGCGCCATGAAGCTGCAAAAGAGGCACACAATGTTCCAGGAGACAAGGAAGGAGAGAAACCTGTGAACAAGCCGAAACAGAATCCAAAAACAGAATCCGAGGATGTCCAATCTCAATCTACAGGATCTAAGAGCAGCTCAGATTCTGATGGAGAGACAAATAGATCTACAGAACACAAGAACAAGGGCATCCTCACATGGCGACACCCAAGTCTAAAGAAAGTGAACCAGAAGCAGAAGCAGAAGGAGAAGCCCAGTTTTGAATTGCCATCCATGTTAGACTGCACTAAACCACCGCCCTTTTATGTCCCCACCACAATGTACAATGGCAGCTATTACCCGCCATACCCAACAATGGCTGCAGCCCCTCTGCAATACTTTTGGCATGCCAGGCCGCACAGGCAGACTAATCCTATGGTGCGTTACACTAGCTATGCCGATAATTACCTCCACGGCTTTTTCTAAAGCGTTGTTCAAACATTGAAACGGCTACTGTCTTTCTTCAATGGAATATAAGGAGAGATTTGAAAGAATTGTTTGTACCTGACGAAAACCGAGTCCAAAGCGTTCACCAGAGCTGCTTTCTATGCCTTTGTTTTTTTTTTTTCTGCATATGGCTGCCTAAGTTCATGGCTCTTCATGATTCATTCCCCCAATTTTGTATCCAAAACTCTCTGAGCAGGCCAATTTGTGAAGCCAAAAGCTTGAACAGCATAGCTTCTGGCTCTTGGGAATGTGGCAATCCTAAGAAGAGCTGCATTTCCATCAATTCTCTTAGAAAATCTTCAGTCAAGCAAAACAAAGGCAAAACCCTTTTGAAGGAAAGCTGGTTCATAGATGATGATCCATCAGAGATAATTAAAAAATCCGGATAATCCTTCGACAATCAAAAGTTCTAACAGCCCTTCTTTCCCCCGCCATACCCAACAATGGCTGCAGCCCCTCTGCAATACTTTTGGCATGCCAGGCCGCACAGGCAGACTAATCCTATGGTGCGTTACACTAGCTATGCCGATAATTACCTCCACGGCTTTTTCTAAAGCGTTGTTCAAACATTGAAACGGCTACTGTCTTTCTTCAATGGAATATAAGGAGAGATTTGAAAGAATTGTTTGTACCTGACGAAAACCGAGTCCAAAGCGTTCACCAGAGCTGCTTTCTATGCCTTTGTTTTTTTTTTTTCTGCATATGGCTGCCTAAGTTCATGGCTCTTCATGATTCATTCCCCCAATTTTGTATCCAAAACTCTCTGAGCAGGCCAATTTGTGAAGCCAAAAGCTTGAACAGCATAGCTTCTGGCTCTTGGGAATGTGGCAATCCTAAGAAGAGCTGCATTTCCATCAATTCTCTTAGAAAATCTTCAGTCAAGCAAAACAAAGGCAAAACCCTTTTGAAGGAAAGCTGGTTCATAGATGATGATCCATCAGAGATAATTAAAAAATCCGGATAATCCTTCGACAATCAAAAGTTCTAACAGCCCTTCATGGCCATACCATGGAATGTATATACAACCAGAAGAACTCTACTGGAAGATTCCAAATCAAGCCATTACATGTAAGCATTTTAGTCAAATCTCCACATCAAGTTGGAGAGATGATGGTATCAGCCACCCCTTGCTTCTCTTCTAGTGGCGTCATGAAGAACATCAACATCGACTCCATCAGGTGGTAACTGGACGTATCTCACCACAGATCCTCTGATGAAGCAGTTTCTCACCGAGAGCTAAAATTCCATACAGAAAACCATCAGAATTAGAACAAACGAATTAGAATATACAGGGATAACTAAGATAACTGCAAAAGAAGATATACAGAACGATATACAAATGCTCAATCCCGAAAACAACAACAAGCTAAAAGCACTCAAAATTATTTCCCAAATACCTTGTAGCACTGTGGTAATGCAGATTACATTGGAGTGACCTCAATAGCAAAATCATTTTCACACTATAAAAGCAGGAATCTTAAACTCTATGCCTAAATCAGAAAAAGTTATTGTTTAAAAATATTATCATTTTAATCAAAAGATTATTTTCTAACTTTGACATAGAACTTTTTCGCCAATATCAACTCAGTGGTTTCACCTTGGCCATAGGAAGGCCGATTTAGACAACAAAAGACAATAAATTCTGAGATAGAAACAATCAGACATCCCCACATCCCATTGAAAAGTTAAGAGCAATAACAGGTAAGAGGTCAAGGAATACACAAGAGCGCATCATGAAGCGTTTAATTTATCTATTTCATATAATCCCAAGTTGCAATACCGATATGTTGCGAGAGTGTGACCAAAAACCCATTGCTTAAATCACACCCCTACTGTGCAGCAATCATCGCACACAATGGAGACAAAGCAATATGTAAATACACAAAGAAAAAAACAAATTGTTCACCCCAATTCGTCTATATTCCATTTAACAATGATCTCTAGAACACAAGAAAGAGTATTATCACAGATATACGCAACAACAACAACGGCTGGAATCGGATCACTCCGGTATGCTACCCACTAAAATGCTAAAGCCAACTTCAAATTCATTGGATATACCACAAAATGTATTTTCGAGCACATACAACTTAAACGAGGCATAGTATTAGTCAGACAATCAAAAGTCTGCAGAAGCACCAAGAAACCCTAAATTTGTGGCTCTGAAGTCCCTTTGCACCTAATCCAGGTCACCTATTCAACCCAAAACCCAAATATACCTAAGGGAATACGAGAAGAGATAGAATCTGAGTTAGAAGAGAAAATTTTACCATATGAGGGAACTTGTCCTGATCAACAACCCTAGTGTTCTCGAGCTTGATATTCAGGTACTGATCCACAGAATGCAGAGTCCCTCTAATCGCTAAATCGTTCTTCAGCTCAACCGTCACTTCTCTTCCGACCAAATCCTTAAAGTAAGAAAAGAACAACTGCACCCGGCAACCAAAAAAAATTTAACCCGTCAGGAAAAATCCCAATTCATGACCCGAAAGCAAAGCCATCAACCAAAAACCCTAGAGCCATCGGCCAAAAGAAACATACCCACGATAAACCAGAAAACGAAAACTTTACCCTGCCGATTAAAACCCCACCCACCCAGAATCGGCAGAGAACAAGCGAAAGAATCGCTTGAAGAAACTTACCATCTTTCCTTGAGAGAGAGAAGTCAGCTGCTTCCTGAGCTCCCAACCTAACAGAGAATGTAAATTGGCGAGAAACAGCTCCAAAGTGCCCTAATGATCCGTTAAATTGAATCTAGAATCTCTTTCCCCGGACCCTCTGACTGATCAAGAAGTTTGTATACATACGGGGCTTATTTTGATATATTTGTGAAAGTCGGGCATATATTATAAATAATTAAAAGTTTAGGTGTACGCCTGTTAATTGCAAAGATATCGGTCAAATTTTGTGAATTCCTACAAAAATTTCAGGTGTCCTTTTCCCCGTCTAGCCAAATACAGAAGATACTCGGTTCTGTTTTTGAGGCGGAGGTTGGCGATAAGATCTTCCATGGGTTTGTTTGTGACGATGAATTAAGGAAGATTTTCAAGAGAAATCGAGTTTTTTGGAGCGAATTCGGTTTCTCTTCTTGTGAAGAAATGAACAAACTCTGTTTGATGGCCTTTCATGGAGGCTATCCTACCCCTGCTCTTGGTTTGCGTGGCTCCGAAATCATCAAGGTAATTACTTTTCTCAGATTGGTTATGGGATTAACCTTTAAAATTGTCGATCTGATGGGATTTGTGCCTTTTTTGGGGTTTGAATTTGATTTCTGGTTCGATTTGATGACTTGTAATTTATGTCCACGGGTATTGGTGTGTATAAATCATAGGGTGTTAATCTTCCATCTCAGGAACTGAATGTGCTTCCTGTGAAAATTATGCTCAAAAACTGCCGCTTTATCTAAGCTTGTTGTTTCTGGAGTTGGTGGTCTTGTTTAGTTGCATCCTCTGCATCCATCTATGCTTTATTCTTCAAATAGTTTCATTGAAGAGCTTTGGTTGATCGTCTTCTTGTTTAACTCCATATAACTCTTCAATTGATTCAGAGTAACGGGCCTTATCTGGTGAACCTCGGGACAAAACAGGAGATAATACCAGCAAGGTCTATCAATCTGAAGCCAGATCAATCGGAACCGTGGAAACCCGCTGGTTCGATGTGCAAGCTTGGCCAGTTGGTGGAGATTGATTCATCCATGATGAGGCCTCTGCTCGTTGATGTTCATGGTATGTGTCATCTATCTACCTTTTTCCCTTCCGACCTATGTGTCATATTGTAATTCCGGGGGTCTTTTATAGACTCCCTTCTAATTTTTTTGTTAAACGGTTTAGGAACCTCGGCATTTACTCATTTCCTGATGACATGAACTCACTGTGGTTGCAGATACCCCATTGGAGTCCCTGCCTTTTAGCCTCAGGATCTCTGAGCAGTGTGCAAGGCAAGAACAGGTGACAAAGTTTCTGATGTTGAGATCAGATGAACTCAAAGAGGGTGGTTTCGATATGTCTCTGCTATCCGACTTCATAGATCCACATGCTTTGAAATCCGGTTCTCACCTGCCAGAGGAATACTCTGTTCTTTATCTGAATCAAAAACATGGGAAGCCACTTCTAGATCTTGTTGAGAAAATTGTGCGTAATCCAGAAGTTACAGTTCATCCAGATGGCCAGGTTCTTGTCTCGGGTAGCAGAGAGGACTTGAAAGATGTACTCTCTATTGCTGCTGAGTTCTATCTGTCGAGGAATTATGCGAGAGGGAGAACGCTCTCACCGCTTGTCCCGCAATTCCCAAGGTGATTCATTATGCACCATTCATTGAGATGTCTACACGTTTTCTTTGCATATGCTTGTCAATTTGGAGTTATATTTAATCGTTTTAGACACCCATAATATACATTAGACTGCAATTTCAGTTACCTCTTCTGAAGGAGACACTCTAAGTCTTATTCTCATTTCTGTTGGTAGGTAAAGATGAATTGAAAGGATGTTAATATACAATGGCTGTGATTCTAGTTCTTATGGTTAAGATTTGATTGTGTTATTAAGCAGGTTGGATAGTGAGGTAATAGCAACTCTGCAGCTAGCTCCGGCTAAGTTGGAAGCAGTGACAAAAGCTCCTCTGAAGAGGTAATATTATCATCTATTACTTGCATGAGTATGTTTATTGTGTGTTATGTTGGTGTTTTTTGGATGTGGCAACATTGGTTTTTGACTTTGACAGTCCAGAGATAACCAAGCTCAAGCCTTCACCCAAGAAACACAACACGAAGAAAGGAGCTAGAGAGAGGGACCTTTACAGGCGAAACCATCTCCATGCATGTGAGAGCCTACTGTCTTTGATGATAGGGAACGATGAACATAAGAAAACCACGATACTCTCCTTAAAGAGATCATCCAGCACCGATCTCTCGGAGCTTCTGACACAGTTGTCAATCGGAATCTCTGGAACTGGCATCGCTGTCCTGTTCTCTGTTGTCTGTAGTGTTGCAACCGGGCATGTGCCTTTTTGTGCAGACAAGTTCTTCAGCACTGGCCTAGGGTTCACCCTGGTATGGCTGTCATGGGCGGTGAATAAACTCAGAGATACGATTGTTCATGTCAACAGGAAAGCAATGAGGCCGTATTCCATTTTGAAAGACCAAGACTTGACGAGCAGATTGGAGAAGAGCACGAAGGAAGTTTACTCCAGAGCTGCGGCAGTAATGGCCATGCTTGTGCTTAGGTTTGCATGATGAACATTCATGGTTTGGAGAAGTTCAACTCCATGGGACGCTAGAGAGATCGTAGATGCAAAGACTGGATCAAAAACTTGTTAATACCGGGCTTGTAAATGTGAAATTACTGAGAAAGGTTTGTCATGGAGCCTAAGAGTTTGAAATTTTGCAGAAACTATTTGCAGTTACTGTCTCTGAGAAGATAACATAGTGATGGAACAAAAATCATTGTAGTACAGTGAAATTATTGCCATTTAGCTCGGGAGAAACAGAAACAATGATTCAGGGAATGACTTCAAATTCACAAAGAAGCTGCAAAGGAGAAACCCATCATTGATAATTCCTAGAACAAAAGGAAAATGAGATTCTTTCAAGAATTTGGAAACTATATCATAACTCAGCTCATCACTTTTGATACCACACCAGCTCCAACGGTTCTCCCTCCTTCTCTCAGGGCAAACCTTTGACCTGCACATGCCATATAAACCAGGGGGTTACCAAAGTTTGTTTACGGGCACAAATTTCTTTTTTATTCCAAGAAAATTTTGAATAATCTCAAGATTTGAGTTAAAAGGAGGTAAACAAGACAAGACAACCAAGAAACATACCTGGCTCGAGTGGGACAGGCAGGATAAGTTCAAAAACTGCAGTGACATTGTCACCAGGCATAACCATCTTTACATTTTCGGGCAATTCCACTTTTCCTGTCACATCTGCAGTCCTCAAGTAAAACTGAGGCCTGTAGTTAGAGAAAAACGCAGTATGACGTCCACCTTCGTCCTTTGTCAGAACGTAAATCTCTGCTTCGAATTTTTTGGAAGTCTTAATTGTTCCGGGCTTTGCAATCACCTACGCAACCACAGGAATAAACATCAGAGAAGTTGATTGCCCATATTTTTCCAACTGTCATACGAAAACTAGTGAGTTGAATTCTGGGTTGAGATGCAAAAGGGCAAGCACTAAGGAGACCTTACCATTCCTCGCTGCACATCTTCTCTCTTCAATCCACGCAACAGAAGTCCTACATTATCACCGGCCTAATATGGTTGAAAAACAAGGTTGCTATTAGTATCATAAGGACCAAAAATATCAGTGCAAATTCCATAACTTCCCAATAGTCAACTTACTTGTCCGTGATCCAAAATTTTCTTGAACATCTCAACTCCAGTGACCGTAGTTTTCAGTGGAGGCCCCTAAAAATGAAATCTCAAGATAAGAAAAGAGAACTCAGAGGAAAATGCTTGGTTGCTACAGAGCATCAGCATATACCCAATTGATTTTACAGAACCAAACCGTATCCTTCAACTATGAAAAATAGATCCATCAAAACTCACCTGCATTAAACCCAAAATCTCAACTTCTTCACCTACTTTGATGGTTCCCTGTTCTACACGACCAGTTGTAACAGTACCACGCCCCTTCAAGAACCAGATAAATTATCAGAAATCATTTAGCAAAAAAAAAAAACATATGAATAGCTTAGTCTTTTACATGGCAGGATAGAAGAAGATGAACTTCACTCAGCTCAGAATAACAAAATGTTCGAAATTGAGACGATACAGATTCTTGCCACAATATTTATTAAGGAGAATTACTCCAATAAGCGGATAGCAGCTAGACCCTCTACTAAGGAAATAGAGAAGCCAAATAGTCACAACGGTCAAACTTAAATAACGAATCATGAAAACAAAGCAACACATCATGAGGCAGCAATCTTTTTCAAACCAAAAAGAACAAGGATGCAGATTGTATAACCTGAATTGAGAAAACATCTTCAATTGGCATTAGGAAGGGCTTGTCCAGTTGACGAACTGGGTCAGGTATATATTCATCGACAGCATCCATTAGCTTGAGTATAGCTTTCCTGCCAATTTCATCATTTGTACCCTGCAATGCAGACAAGGCAGATCCCCGGATAATAGGAATGTCATCCCCAGGGAACTTGTAGAAGCTGAGAAGTTCTGGCAGAGACAAAAGTAGGTGTTAGAAAGCTTGTACTTCCTAAGAACATACTAAGATAAAAACTGCGTGACAGGAAAGTTAACAAACCGCGTAGCTCCATCTCTACAAGCTCCAATAACTCTGGATCATCCACGGCATCAACTTTGTTGAGAAAGCACACAAGTGATGGAACACCGACCTATGAAAAAAGAATAATTAAATTTTAGAAAAAATATCGAACTCGTTGAGTAGCGCAAGTGTTCAAGCAGATGTAAGCAGTCCTAACCTGGCGTGCAAGCAGGATATGCTCCTTAGTCTGAGGCATTGGTCCATCAGGTGCCGAAACCACAAGAATACCACCATCCATTTGGGCAGCACCAGTAATCATGTTCTGACAATTAGGAGACAAATCTACAAGTTAAAGGTTGATGAATTCCTCTCCCAGTATAAAGTTATCTATGATGGCATGCCAGAAAATAATTCTGGTATACTAGATTATGATGCTTTCGTAGAGGTCAATTCAAAACTCTAATTACTATATCGGAAAGTTAAACTTATATGTAATCTATAACAGTGAATGCAATGTTCTCATCACACTTTCACGTAATCTGCATGTCCGGGGCAGTCAACATGAGCATAATGGCGCTTCGCAGTCTCATACTCCACGTGAGCCTACAAAACCAAATACAGCTCGTAAATGGCCAGCAAAGACACTCAGCATGATACAAGCAGCTTTCTCCGCTCGACCGATTGGAATGCCAGGAGAAATGAAAGTAGAGATAATCCAGACCGTTGCAATGGTGATTCCTCTCTTCTTCTCTTCAGGAGCTTTATCAATTTCATCAAAGGCGACAGCTTTAGCTTTACCCTCTTCGGCCAGCACCTACATATATATAAAGGTTGCGTGATAACTGATAAAACTCAAATCTTTTCTCAATTATGCATTTTGTTTTTTACAATATTAAGACGGAGATTCATGGAGGAAAATAACAAACCCACCTTTGTAATTGCAGCAGTTAGAGTGGTCTTCCCATGATCAACGTGTCCGATTGTTCCAACATTTACATGAGGTTTTCTGCCAATTTAGTAACGGTAATTAAGAACCCACTCAATGAGAACAAAATCTCAGGACAAAAACCTTTAAAGATAAAACAATTTCCAAAAAAGGAAACCCATTTTCCTCTTCAGCATTCTCCTGCTACTTCAGAAGCATGGAATCGAAACGAATGAGGACTATTTTTTTTCCACTCTACATACTCTCCAAACACAAGTTCCAAAACAGGCCACTAAACCAGCTGCTGATACGAATTTCTATGTGTGTGAGAGAGAGAGAGAGAGAGAGAGAGAGAGATCTGACAAAAGGAAAGATGAATACAAGGAAGGAACTCACGTCCGAGTAAAAGTGGCCATCGATCTCCACCAGAAGGCAGAGGAACAGGAGGAGGAGCGATCATCTCCGCCGACGAAACGGGAGATGGAATAAGTTGAGGGGATAGAGCCTCCACGGTGGTGCAAGTAGATCTGAGAAGAGAATGGCATGAACCGCTTCGAGCTAGGGTTTCGAAGAGCCACGGACGCCATTGGAATACCCGCAGAAATGATGGGAGGGGAGCCAGGAAGAAACAAAATCTGAGGTTTAAGGGAGGGTTATTTGGTCACTCATCTGACCCGAGGGTTTCAGTTCAATCCACCCGTATTTTTCATGACCCGACCCGTGAGCCCATATTAAATTGGGCCTTCAGTTACTGGGCCTAGATATTACGAAATAGCTTCGACCCAATCAAATATGCAAAGGCCCGGCAATTGTCTGATTTCCTTTCCCTGTTCTGCTGCTGCTTTTCTCATTTTCAATTCAGTTAAGGTTTTTTCATAGGTTCATTGCCTGTCTTGTTCAGGCAAGCTTTAGAGATAACATCAGTCAGTTATGTTAGGGCTCTTCCTTCTGGTAAGATTCTATATACATCAGTATACTCCCAATCCCATGAATCAAGTAACCACGGGCTTTGATCTCAAGTTGCAGTAAAGATATCTGTTTGCTGGCCCTCTTTGTTCATATTGCAAGAAATCCAGAGTATGGACCTGGCCTGGATATCAAAGCATAAGACTAATGATGAACAAATTGAAGGAAATGCAAATGGATATGGAACAGAATGCGTGGTAAAATAAAAATGAGCCCGTTGATTGCAGGAATATCAACCATCGTTCAAATCAAAATGTAACTTATATTTGCACAGCAATCAAGTGGAGAAAGAAATGAGAAACAACTGTAGCATCATGAAGGCTATAACAAAGCTTACGGAAACAAACGGAGGCAAGGAGAGAGAAACACCACCACTTAAACAAAGACTCCACCTTTTTTTCAGATCTTAAGCTTTGGCTGCTGCTGCTGCTGGTTCGTCATCATCTTCAATGTCCCAACTCAAGTCTTCATCTTCTTCCGCAGCACTCAATCGCTTGCGCAGTTCTGCTCTGTTTGGACTACTACCAGAACGAGTCACTTCCTTCTCGTCGATGGTGCTCAGATCCTCGATCTCGTCCCATCCCAATTCGTCTTCCTCCTGAACAGATGGTTGAGCTGATGCTGAAGAAATACCACCACTGTGTTTGATCAAATCTCCTGAAGGGGCAGCCTCAGACTCAGAAGCTTCTCCAACCACAACTGTTTTCGATTCTGGAATCTCCTTATTGCGCTCTTCCTTTTTCTCCTCAGAAGCTTCATCCTTTTTCGAATCAACATCGTTCACTTCAGTCACTGAATCTGCGTTCTTCCCATCATCTTTGGCCTTTTGCTCCTGATCCCCTCTATTCCCCTCCTCATTTTCCTCGAGTTTCATCTTTGCAACTTCTTTGCTAGTTTCAGCAACTTTCTCGCTGCTCTCATCTTCATCGTCAATATCCCAACTCAACTCCTCCTCATCTTCCAGTGAAATTGCTCGTTTAACAAGATTAACCCGCAAATCCTCAGCTTGCTTGAGCTTATGAACCTTGTAGAAATACCTAAACCAGAAAGTCTCCTGATCAACCATATTTGGAACAACCCTTTTGTATATTCCTCTCATGTCCCCGTTCTCCTCCATCAATCTCTCCAAGTCTCCATCTTTCTGATCCAGAGAAAAGGTGGATTCCCACTTTTTGTAATCGTCTAAATCCTCAGGCTCATCACAATAAGTGTTAACATCGCCCTGAACGGCGCGAACCTGAGCATCGAAACGACTGTATGGCTTCGAGCTGAAGCTATCGCGACCACCGTAACTCTTACTGCTATTGTTATCAGAGGAATCGGATTCGTTACCTGCGGCTAAGATCGCTTCCTTACCATGGGCAATGATCTCGGCCGTTCCTTTAATCACAGAGCTTCCAATTTCATCAATGGCGTGTCCGACAGTGCCCAACGATCCCTGCGCAACCTCTATCTCCTTCTTCAGACCGGACCCGAATTCTTGGAGATCGCGGCGATAGGTCTCTAACACGGATTCAGATCTGGTGGCCAAGGTCTTCATCAGGCCGCCGAAACTCCATAACCCACCGTCGCTAGGGTTTGATTTCTCCGGCGAGGGAATCGTATCTGGGTTTTGCTGCTCTTCACTGGTTCTCGGAGACTCGGAGCCTGATTCGGCAGTCGAAGGATCCGGATCCGGATCGTCCGAGAAGACGGATTTGAAGAAATTCATGATGAAAGCTCAGATCTTTGTGGTGGGTTCCCAGATTAGGGTTTTCCAGCAAAAGGATCGACGAATTGAGGAGCTAACATCAATATCCGAAGATTTGTTTTCTCTTACACAAACATATGTATTTGTATATTTACATCAACCACAGTATATATATCATCATTTAAAAATACTAATTACCTTTAATTTTGGCATATCTAATTTTTATCTCCTATTTAAACAAATCATGGACAAAATTAATAGAAAATTAATTACTCTACTAAATATTAGCTCTATTTAGTTGCTGTGTGATTTACTTAACTATATTTTTAAAACATAAATTAATACGTAAGCACCAAACAGTGCATTATAAACCATTGGTTCATACAAAATTTTTAAACGATTATAGCTTAATTTTGTTATAAGCATGATGACCATGACCCCCCTCCTCCATGACCAAGACCAAATATCATGCAAAACACCAACCAGATACAGACACGTGTACACTACTCTTCGAGGAAATTCGTAGATGAACGGTAGAGATCGTACGGGGCCCACAGATGATCAACGGCGCAGGGCCTTCGAGAATCGAGACGAAGCCATGGCTTCCCTTTCCCGCTCCAATGGAGCAGACTGATGGGACCAGGGTGCAGATTCCGACACTTTCCTTGAACATTGTCGCCGCCGAGACCGTGCTGGTTCCACCGGTGATCAACGGCTTTGATCTTTCCGGCGAGGACCAGCAAGAACGGAGGAAGAGAGCCCAAATGATAGATCCTCCTATGTTTCTGCACACTCATCCATTCCTCCACCTTCCTCGTGAACTCTCCTTCGCGCCATTTCCCCACGTCGACGACCATCACTCCGGTGTTGAAATAGCACGGCCGGCGATCTCTGAACGTGCCGGAGAATTCTGGGTCCGACCAAAACATGTCGGTGAAGTACTTGGTGAAGTTCGCGTGGCAGTACTCCGGCGCCGCCACCACGTGGTCGCCCAGGTCCACCGACCAGAGCTTTGCAATGTCGTCGACGAGGATTATGTCAGAGTCCAGGTATATGACACGTGTCACCTGTCAGCATATCATGTATCCATACGTATAAGAGGGTTGACAAGTAGTTTGGTTGCGAATTTCGTGCCAGTGAATATTGAAGTGTATATATATACATCATTATGGCCATGCAAGAAACTGAGCACGAACGAACGAGATGATGATTCATGCGACGAACGCGTATCTAAATCTTTTTTTGAATAACAACATGATTTATAGAATCCAAATATTTAAAAAGTAGAATTCGGCCAGCATATATAGATACTACTTTTTTAATAGGTATATACACGAAAATATGATTGGTGCAAACTACTGATTATATATGACTGCGTTTCAAGGATCAGATATTTTGATTCGTTTACCATAAAACTGGGGGTTTATCAAAATTATTATTCATGGGTTTAATAAAAAAAATAAGAAAAAAACTAAAAATGTTAAAGTCAGAGAAACAAGAAGATTGATTATTAATCAGCAAAGAAACACACGAAGTTGATTATATATATATATATATATATATATATGTAACCTTCTCGGGGAGGATGTCAGAGAGGTAGGTCCGTGCGTAGTTCAAGGGCTGGTCAAGAGCTTCTCTGATGGACCGGGAGATCTTTCCACGGACCCTGTCGGGGTCGAACCGGTAGAGGTGGAAGGTGAGGTAAGGGAAGGTGCTGTTAATGGCGGAAACGATGCCGTTTTCAGGGTGAGACCAGAGGAAGTGAAACTCGACGTCTTCCGGACACGTCGAATGCTGGAGGATGGAGAGGACGGCAGCCATTGTCCCCCTCAGGTAGTTCCCGTCGAGGGTCATCGCCACGTGGATCCTCTCCCCTCCTCCTCCACGTGGATCTTCCCGGCAACCGCCGCCGTTTCGGAAGGCCGGAGCTTCCCGGAAAACAGGAGAGAAGACGACATCAGGGGATGGCTTTCTGACGAGGCCGAGGCGGAGAGAGGAGCCAACCTCGCCGGAAACAATGGTGGTCGAGATGAGGAGGATGAGGAGGAGAAGGGCAATGGAAGCCATGGAGAGGCCATTTATGGGAACGTAGGGTTTGTGTTAAGAGAAGGATGGGAGATGGGAAACAGCCATTCTTAGGGTGGTGGTTGGTGAGACATTTGTGAGGAGGAGATGATTCCTCGGAAGGGTTTCTCGCAAAAAATAAAACAAATTATTATATTCATCAACTCTATTTTATTACAACCTTATCCCAAGTCCAACACCCATGCATTACCAAATTTCATGTGCGTTTTATTGCATCATTTACGAGTTTACAACTCGTTCGTTACGACTATGACTCGGCCATGCACGTGGAATCGTTACCAACGTGCATGTCACGACCATGTGAATGAAGATTTTGTTACTTTATATGACATGTGGTTTGAAATGAAAACAGGAGCCATGACCATGGCGACAGCCGACACTGGCATTGACCGTTTGCGTGCAACATGCATGCTCTTACAAGTAGCTACGATAACAAAGATTGTTCGAATTCCCGTCGGTGCGTGATCATAAAACGTGGATGCGTTTGGAAACAAATGTAAATTACCATTACCAAAAGCCTTCAAATTCGGAATTTACGTGAAAACTAATATATAAATGGGGTTTTATTAAAACAAAGTTGTGGATTTTATATGCATTTTAGTGTGTATGTATTAATTTTAACAAGGTAAACTTACAACAGGTATTAAGGTTATATATATATATATATATGTGTGTGTGTGTGTGTGTTTGCGTTTTAAAATGTCAATGCGATTATAACAAATGCAAATGACTAATAGAATTCGAATGATACGTAAAAACTAATATATAAAATGGTATAAATGTAACACTAATGCAAAGCTACGGGGTTGTATATGCATTTACGATTCAGCGTGCATGAATTAACACTAATATATGGTACTGCATTTCTGATCGGCTCTCGCTCGTGTGATTTTTGCTTGAGAAGGGCCAGCTTCTGAAGGTGAGTGAAGAGAAGCAAACGCCATTTTCATCACGTCGAACGGCTCGGAATCGATCTGATTCTCGGGTGCAATGGTTTCATATGGGTCGGGAACCAAGAACGCGGGAAAAGAGCAGAATTACATGTCTCAGCCCGAGATTAGACAAATACGCGTCCTGTCAAACTCAGGCTTTAGCCTCACACCACAAGTGATAACCGAAATAGCCAACAAACTTAGCATTTCCGTGGATATCGACATACAGCACATGCTTGGACCCGAGTTCCACGTCGTAACGAGGCTGAAAGAAGACGCGCAGTCTTAACATTTGCAGATGTCACTGTCTCAAAATGGATTATTACCAAAGATGTAGGCAACATTGGCTGATACAGCCGCCTTGTAACAACATGTACTAGATCATCTGGTATTGGATTGGCTCAAACTTGTTCAAAGCTCGTCTTTTTGAGAATCTTGGAAGCATTGCTCGTCCCACAAGAAGGGGAACTTCAACCTTGCAGCAGTGTGTGGCATAAACCAGTCATCATATATGAATCTGCATAAAAAAGGAAAACGCCGTTTTCACGAAGCTTCATCACTTGTTCTACAACTGAGATAATTAAATGACAGAAGCAGTACTGTCTGAAATCACCATTGACAAATGCCCTAAGAGAATGATACATACACTTTGACAGGAGGACGGGATATGATAACCAGAATCTGGAGGTCCTCATGTTCATCAGTATTCCAGGCCTGTACAAGACATAGTAGATGGCCATCAAAACCAAACTGGAAACCTGCTTTGAAGAAATACTAATGTACAGAGTAGTTACGGGAAGACATGCCTGATGAGCATCGTTGATTGGGATATGAAATGTACTGTTTGCAAAGATGGGAAATTCCTGCGGCTTCCCGGGGTACTTCCCCTGCGAATTTTCAGCAAGATACACCGTGCCCTTTCCCTTCAATACGACGAAAACCTCTTCACAGGAGTGCCTGTGAATCGGTGTGTGCCCACCTGGACTAAGCGTTTGAAGCCATATCTCGACCTGCAAGCTCCAAGTTGTAAGTAAATACATCAAGACATTTACATAACTGTATTATACTCAGAGCTCGAATGTTTAAGCCGGTGTCCTTTTCACAGACCTCTTTCATGCCGTGCATTACTGAGCCGGCCACTGTCATGTGGGACAATCCTGGTATTCCATAGCTATCCTGAGGAAGCTCGCTTATATTTCTCACGATTGGCACGGCTTCATTCACCATACGAGAACCAAGAATCAAGTAAGATGATAAGATCATCACAGGTTAATCCAAAGAAGAATGGATCTGAGCTCTATTACATATTAGCAACACAAATTTCTCTTCAGAATCACACAGCAACATTTCTGGGAATCAAACGATTAATGAGGATATCATGTCCAGGCATCCAAATCCCCTTGAAGCTTTACCATAGAAAATCTCTCCGAATAACCGAGGGAAGAGACAGGGAGTTACTAAGGAATGAAAGTTCTTGAGTCCTGATTTTGAACTAAATCGATTGCGACCTCAGCACATTTTGCTTCGAAAAAGAGAGCAGAACCCAATTGCATAGACTGATAACGGAGAACCGAAAACTTATCCTTCATCTAAACCCTCAAAAGAGAGCTTAGGTTCTCGTGGCCAACAGGAGATAAAAAGCGCGGGACTTACCATTGTTGGAGCAAGAAGAAGCTTCTAGAGTAGTTCCAGAGAAGAAGAAGAAGAGAGCAATCGCGATAGTGAAAAAGATGGTGACCGGAGACGACGGCGGCGGCGGCGAAGAAGATGCCATGATTTCTAGACAGCGCCTCTTCGTCAGAAGAGTGACCAGGATCAGAAGAAATCTCTCGAACCAATGAAATTGTTTGAAATCTTTTCGCGTAACTTTTTGGATTTTGCCCCAGTAAAGTCAGATTTCATAATAAGACCCCGAAAAAATTATATATTTTACAATAAATCCCTATTAGCAATTGCTTACAAATACTGGGGCATTATGAGAATATTTTATAAAATAAGAGGCATAGTTTCACATTCGGTAAAACATTAGGGGTTTAAGCGTCAATAATCCTCATAAAATAATCGCTGTTGGATGCTCTAGTAAAAAAAACCTTGCCTTCACCTGTAAAACCCTCGCATCTCCGGACTCTTACCCCGTCGCCGGTGAGATTTCTCTCTCAGATAATTTTTTCCGATATTTTTTTTGTGTGCTTTCGATTTTTATGCTTCCGGGTTCTCTTCGAATTTCTAAAGTTTGAGTCTTCCGCTGAAGGTAATGGTGACGATTAAGTGGGCCATGGTTGATTTCAGTATTCTACGAGGTTTCTGAGTCATTGTTGTTCGTGTAGATTTTTGGTTTTCGTGCGTATTGTTTTCGTTTGATTGGTGATAATTTTCGAAATGTCGATCAATTTTGCGAATTCTCGGCATGAACGAGCTGCTGTTGTCCCCATTCTTGCAGGCGGAAATTGTTGAAACATGAAGATTAGGTTCTGTACTGGCTTTACAAAACATGGGGTTTTGCTCGTTCATTCGGAACTACCGGCACTTTTTCCCTTTAAATCTCGGTTATTCAATGAGTCTACTCTTTGCAAGTTGTGTGACCATAAGAAGAAGATTGTGATGAACATGAGACAACATGAGACTCCAATCCGCAATAGCTGGCAGAAGCTTTGCATCAGATTCTATTGGACTCATCTTTGTCTAGAGCGGATAGGTCTCAATCTGGACGAAAGCGCGGGGCTTTGTCGACCGAGTTTGTTGGATATGAAGATGGAAACGGCTGCTACTTGTGCCAGGGTTTATGAGTTTTGTGTGGGACTGGTATTGTTCCTGGCGAGCTTGATGGGTTGGAACTTCTTGTGACCGTCGATGTGATGAAGGAGCAAGTGGAGTATCTTCTCAAGTTGGGGCTTACGATCCAAGATATCGACAATTACCCTCTCGTTATTGGTTGTATTGTAACGAAGAACATGATCCCGTGGGGAAATCAAATTTCACTGAGTTTCTCAGGAGATAACCACAGGTTCTTCAAGTCTAGTGTTGCTGTAGACCTTGTCCCTGTGGTTAAGTATCTCCAAGTACAGGATATTCAACCAAAGGACATACGACGACGGGTTCTTGAGAGGTATCCAGAAGTTCTTGGGTTTAAGCTAGAAGGGACCTTGAGCACGTCTTACCTGGTTGGGACAGGAGTAGCAAAGGGGGAAATTGGGAATGTTTTAACTTGATATCCTGAAATTTTGGGATGCTGAGTAGCTCGAGTAATTAAGCCCTTACTGGGAATATCTCGAGATCTTGGGTATTCCACAACTGGCTGTAGCTTGATTGATAGAGAATCGGCCTCACATTCTGGGATTCAAATTGGACAAGGCATTGAAACCAAATGTGCAAACCCTGCTAGATTTCAATGTCAGAGAAACAATTATTCCTTCTGTAATTGCACAGTAACCTGAATTATAAGGGTCGACTTGAAATCTAAGCTCGAGTCACTAAGGAAGCTACTTTGTTCAGCCCTTGATCTAGATCCTGATGAGTTAGGACGTGTTATCGAGAGAATTCCACAGTTTGTTAGTCTCGGTAATTTGCCTTTGTTAAAGCACATTGATTTCCTCAAGGAGTGTGGATTCTCTGCTGACCAAGTGAGAGAAATGATCATAGGGTGTCGCCAGGTTCTTGCTCTGAATATCAGAATAATGAGACAACTTTGAATACTTCCACTTGGAAACGAAAAGACCGCTTGGCTTGAAGATCTGGTGGATTTTCCCGGATTCTTTACCATAAAGCCGAGACAGAGAAGGGTTTGCATAAAAGGGAATCAAATGTTCATTGGCCTGTATGCTCAACTGTTCAGATGAGAAGTTTGAACAGATGATGAACATTATGGATATGGAAGAAGCAGAAACTGAACCATCCTCTTTTGATATGAATACACTAACACAGCAATTGGTAGGAGACAGGAAGATGTCGAGTAATGCAGGAAACCTGGCAAATCGCGGCACAAAGGTTGAATCTTTTCGACCGGGGAAGGATCAAAAGACAGTGAACAAGCCTTCACACAGTTTATTCTGACAATGAGATTCAAAGAGAAGTTGAACTTTTTGGTGTGCCAAAGGTTGTTCTAATGAGCTATGGATACAGAAGAAAAAAAATCCCATTTCTGTTGATATTCGGTTATGTTCAGATGATAGACAAAACACATTCGTCCATCCGATGTTTTATTTGATTCATTGGAGAGAAAAAAAGACCTTGTGAAAGTCGTAAATTTCATAGTAATTTGTGTATTTTTCGTTAAATGACCAAAATATCCTTCGCGTGATATCACCACACGCCAAGGACAAATCTGTAATTTCAAATAATAATTCAGCACCAACCAACCCTCCTGCTGCCGTTCGCAAAGGACCTTGCGATCAAAATTCTTCCGTCTCGGCTACTCGGCCACGCACTCTCCCCTTTTCGCACAGTCTCTCTCGCTATCTTCACACTCGTCGTATTCTCCGATCTCTGTTTCTTCGCCTCCTCGCTTCTCTTCAGATCTTCTCTCGCCGCGATTGGTTTTCCGCCGCCGCCTCCGTCTTCCGCCGTCACCTTTTTGCTTTCGAGGTCAGTTTCTTGTTTCGAATCCCTTTCTTTACCCCCCTGTTGTGTTCGTGTTTGTTTTGGTTAGGTTGATCGCGGGATTAGTGTTATTTCGATTCGATTTAGTTCTTGAACTGCGTTACGATTGAGCACCCGGGAAATCATCACGAGACTTGTTTTAGGTTTGTGGAGATTTCGTATGTTTACCGGGAAATTGCTTTTGATGTGTCCTGGGATTTCAGTTCTTTTGGCCGATTGAATGACGATTCTGGAAGCCATGACTGATAATTTTTTTAATAATCTAGTTTGTGTTTTTTATTGAATCTGGGACACATGGATAGGGCGTATGAATATTGTCTCATTGTCGGTTTTGTTCCTTTTCAGTAATTTGCAGTGTTTAGTTTTTTTCCCTGTAGGGTTCACTTGTGAAGGATCGGAAGGGACTTCAGTGGAATTATTGCTAATGGTTCAAAAGAAAGAAGAAATGGATGACTCTGGTCTTAATGATTGCAAAGTAGGAACGTTTTCAGTGTCATCCCAAGAAAAGGGAAGGAAAAACAAGAGAAAATTGGCTGATCCTTCTCAACAAAATGCTGCTAACCTTCCTGCTTCCATGACTGAATTCCCTAGATATGAATTCCCCTCACTAAAATTAACTCACAACCCTTTAACTGACCTCCTTTCGATGGAGAAGCTTTCTAGTCAGTCTAAAGTCGAAGACTCTGAATCTGTAGGATGGGATGACCCGCTTGCCTGTCATCTTCAGGAACTATTGTCATCAAATTTGGCCACTCTCTTCCATAGTGCAATAAAGCAGATTGTAGATTGTGGGTACAGGGAGGATGTTGTTCTGAAAGCTATTACAGGCAGTGGGCTCTACTGTGGGGGCAATGACCTTGTGTCGAACCTTGTCAATGATACAGTGAACTTTATGAAGAGCGGAAAGGAAGGTGCTGGTTGGAGAGACACTGTGTTTGAAGACTTAGAACAGCTTGTTGCCTATACTTTGGTAGAGATGATAAATCTTGTTAGGGAGATTAGGCCATCCTTATCAACAGTCGAAGCAATGTGGCAACTGTTGATGTGTGACTTGAATGTTTTGCTGGCGTGTGAATTAGACGGAGATGGATTGGAGGGCTCCTCAGGTTTCAGTTTGTCTGAATCTTCTGAATCTCTAGGCGCTGAGTGTAATACTCCAAAATCCAGTGACCCAGATAACCAGAAGCCTCCACCGTCCACTTCTCATAACAATCAGAGTGACTCCCTCAAATTTGGAACTTTTCCATATCTTCCCAACCCAAAAAATTCTCGTGCTAGTGGAAAAACACCAGGAAAAGAGATATTTTCTGGCAGCTCTGCTTCTGGTGAAGGCATCAAAAGTGCCTCTCTGACTTCGATCTCTGATGATAAATTGGTAACTGGTAGAAAAGGCCGCACCAAAAAGGAAATGGCCATGCTTCGGCAGAAATCATGTGTAGAAAAGATTAGGACTTATAGCAAAGGCAGTGGGTATAAGACAGCAAAGTTTGCATCAGTTGGTAGCTTTCTTGTGGACAAAAGAGTCAAATCAAAGATGACAGCAGAGATTGGGGTAAAAGTCCCTTTATCTGACAGTGGCAACACTATCTCAAATAACAGTTCTAAGTCAGATCCACCTGCCGGAGATGCAAAAGGCTGTGTAACTGCGTTACCTGCTACCAGTGCTGATTCCTCAACTCCACCACTGTCAACTTCAGAAAAGAATTCCAGTTCTGAGTCTGAACAAAATGCTTCTGTATCCGTAAAGCCAGCCCAAGATTACTACGCTGGGATTCCATATGATGCATCTTTGGGGGGATACGTCCCCCGGAATAAAAAAGATGAATTGATTTTAAAGCTAGTTCCCCGAGCAAAAGAATTGCAGAATGAACTGCAGATTTGGACTGAATGGGCTAATAAAAAAGTGAAGGAAGCCACTAGTAGGCTCCTTAAGGACCAACCAGAGATAAAGGCACTAAGGAAGGAGAAAGAAGAGGCAGAACAATACAAAAGGGAGAAGCAGTTAGTGGAGGAAAACACTACGAAAAGGATGTCTGAGATGGAATTTGCCTTGAACAACGCTACCAAACAGCTAGAGAAAGCGAACAAGACGGTACGCAGGCTCGAAGTGGAACAAACACTGCTAAAGAAAGAGATGGAAGCAGCAAAGGTACGAGCCGTCGAATCTGCAGAGAGCTGTAGGGAGGCAAAGGAAAGAGGACAAAAAGCGTTGAAGAATGCTCAGGCGTGGGAAGGGCAAAAGGTTTTGTTGCAGGAAGAGCTCAAGGGTCAGAGAGGCAAGGTGGCGGAGCTGCAGCAGGAAGTTTCCATGGCAAAAAGTCGGCGGTGTCAAATTGAGGTTAGCTGCTTTTTGTAGAAGAAAAGCCTTCCCATGTTAGGTCTTCTCCTCTATAAGATGTCATCATCAGAGCTGTTTTCATTTTTCATATGTTTATCATGTGATAACTCATTGCTTCCTTCCTCCACATTATTTTTCCAGGTAATCATTCTATTCTTTTGAAGTCAATCGTTCTTTTGTGTTATATACTCGTTTGTTCTGTCAAGTAATCAGTCAAGTTACATTTTTGTCAAATAGATTGAGTGCTTCCTATATTCTATGTTTACTTCTCCATATTTTCTGACTCAATGTAGTCATGGTGGGTGTAAGTGGTGATGGTGATGGGTTTTCTTTTCCGATTTCAGAAGTTTATTGAAACACTGTTGAAAAACCAATGGACATTATTTTTCCAGGTAATCATTCTATTCTTTTGAAGTCAATCGTTCTTTTGTGTTATATACTCGTTTGTTCTGTCAAGTAATCAGTCAAGTTACATTTTTGTCAAATAGATTGAGTGCTTCCTATATTCTATGTTTACTTCTCCATATTTTCTGACTCAATGTAGTCATGGTGGGTGTAAGTGGTGATGGTGATGGGTTTTCTTTTCCGATTTCAGAAGTTTATTGAAACACTGTTGAAAAACCAATGGCAGGGTACATGGAAACAAGAAAAGGCGGCGAAGGAGAAGCTTCTGGCTCAGGCTGCAGCCACAAAGAAGGAAAGAGAGCAAGTGGAAGCGTTTGGAAGCACGGAGGAAGAACGGATCAAAAGGAAAGCGGAAAACGATATGAAATACTATGTGGAGAACATCAAAAGGCTGGAGGGCGAGATATCGAGGCTGAAACTGAAATCAGACTGCTTGAAAATAGCCGAGCTGAAGAAGGGAATCGACGGAAGCCATGGTAGTAAAAGCGGAAGCTTAAACCCGGGAGAGAGTGGCGAGACGAACGCGTGGGAAAATCTCGGGGAAACGAAGATCAAGAGGGAAAGGGAATGCGTGATGTGTCTGTCGGAAGAGATGACGGTAATATTCCTCCCGTGCGCTCACCAGGTTCTGTGTTCTAAATGCAACCAGCTTCACGAGAAGGAAGGAATGGAGGATTGTCCATCTTGCAGGGCGACGATTCAGAGGAGGATTCATGCTCGTTTTGCCCGCGGGTAAAGCTTTTTTTTTTTTTTTACTGCGGTGAATCCGCCATTGAAACAACCTTGGAGAACCTCCTCCTCCTCCTCAGTGGTTTTTATGGCAATGAGGTCTTTGGTTTCTTTCTTTCTTTCTCCTCCCTTTGGATTTTGCTTCCCATCAATGCCAATGGTTGATAGCTCTGAGAGGTGAAAAGACTCTCTTATATCTTATACTGCTTACTATAATAAGAATAATAATGTGGGAAAACGCCTTTGCGTACTCTCTCAATGTTGTGATAATAATCTCAATCAGCAAGGTGTTATTATATAATATTTTTTTTTATCAAGAGGATTAAAATAAATAAAGTGATAGCATGAGCAACCAATGATCGTCGATCAGGGACAGAGAGGGCAAATTTAAATATTTTTTTTTAAAAATTAGATCGACAATAATAATAATAATAATGAGAGAAAACGCAAAGCTGTAAAAATGGCGGAAAAATGATTCGGTGAAAACGAGAGGGAGAGGAAGAAAAACCAGGCGATGATGTGATGTGAGAGAAAGTCACACGAAACGAAAGAAGAGACCTGTCTCTGTTCATATTATTATTATTATTGCTCGATAAGCTTTCCATTGAAGTCAAAGCTTGACCAGACCTTTCATCGCGACGAAGAAGAAGAAGATAGAGAGATCGGCGGGGCAATCGGATGTTATTTCGGTTCTTCGGAGGCCATCGGAGGAGATGCTCCGCGGTTTCTGCGGTGGAGGCGGCGGACGGTGACTACGGAGGCGGCGGCTGAAAGGAAGGACTGTCGGTGTCTTTTGTTGTTTTCGTGAGTTGTTGCTCTTTGTGGGTTACTACTACTACTGTCTTAGGTTGTCAGAGGAAGAAGATGAAGAAGGGGAAAGGGAAGAACAGTGGCTTGTTGCCGAATTCCTTGAGGATTATATCCTCTTGCCTGAAAACTGTTTCAGCCAACGCCGCCGACGTAGCCTCGTCGGTTCGTTCTGCCGGAGCTTCCGTCGCAGCCTCTATCTCCTCCGCTGAAGACCACAAGGATCAGGTCTTCTTCTTCGATGCGAATCCGAGTCTGTTTTATTTCATAGCGTAGATTTGGGAAGTATTCTGGAACTATTTTCTGATGGAATTATTGCTGATTTTGTGCTGCTGGAGATTGCCAAACTGGATGGAATGGTGGTTGTTTGTTATTTTATCTCTACTCATAGCTTTAGCTGCATAGGATCGTGGTCTGGGTTTAAATGAGTTAGGTGCTTTTGTCTGGTTCTGATTTTCAGTCTTGGTTTTTGTTAGGTACGGGTATTGTTGATAACTTGATACTCTAGGGAATCAGGTTTGTATTTTCAAGTATAGGTTGGAAAAGCAGAGACATGTATATACTGCATCTTATCCAATTTCTTCCCTCTAGTATGTGTTTCTCATCTAGTTAGTGGATATGCTTTTGGTGGCGTATGCTTTTTCTTTGAGGTCAGAATGTCCCTTTTATGGAAATCTATTTGTTTCATCGACCATATATAGGCCTAGGTTTGCTGTCTGCATCTTTCTGTTGGTGGTTTCTGTAATCGCTCTCCTCCAACTGCTCTCCTTTTCATTGAAAGAATGCCCTTTTGGCTTTTCTCTGGGACAACTTAGTAAAAAACTTTCTTTCTTGAACAGGTGACATGGGCCGGCTTTGACAAACTTGAAATTGGTCCATCCATCGTCAGACATGTTCTCTTGCTCGGCTATCAGAACGGATTTCAAGCGTTTGATGTTGAGGATGCCTCTAATTTTAGTGAACTGGTCTCGGAACGAGATGGTCCAGTTTCATTCTTACAGATGCAGCCACTGCCATCGAGGTCTGGTGATCATGAAGGTTTTGGTAACTCACATCCCCTTTTGCTGGTTGTTGCTGGGGATGGCAAAAATTGCACGACCTTGGGCCGCAACTGTTTCCATTCTGGTGGGTTAGTAAGAGATAATAAAGCAGACTCTGTATCAGGAAACAATGTCAATTATCCTACTTCTGTCCGCTTTTACTCCCTTAAGTCTCACAGCTATGTCCACGTCCTGAGATTCCGATCATCTGTTTGCATGGTTAGATGCAGCTCCCAAGTAGTAGCTGTCGGCCTTGCCACGCAAGTGAGTGTTAACCTGCTTCAAGAAATTCAGCTTCCTTTGATAGAATTTCTTTCTATACCAATTGTAGTCTGCGTTATTTGCTTTTCATGGTAAGTGCTTAAATTGGTATTGGAAATGAACAAATGTTGCTGCATCCAACTTATTATATATTTGCAGGTCACGCTGATCTTTTGTTCAATGTCTTACTCCTGATGCCTTTTATTTGGGTTGTGCAGATATATTGCTTTGATGCACTTACTCTTGAAAGCAAATTCAGTGTTCTCACCTATCCTATTCCTCAGTTGGTGGGACAAGGGACAATCAGCGTTAATGTCGGTTATGGTCCGTTGGCCGTGGGTCCAAGATGGCTTGCATATGCTTCCAAAAGTCCCATGTCAATGAAAACAGGACGCCTAAGCTCACAGAGTCTTAATTCCTCACCAGGTGCCAGCCCATGTATATCACCAGGTGGAAGTAGTTTGATGGCCCGTTATGCAATGGAGTCTAGCAAACAGTTGGCTGCTGGATTAATCAACTTGGGTGACATGGGATACAAAACATTTTCGAAATACTGTCAAGAACTGCTTCCCGATGGATCTAGTTCTCCAGTATCACCAAATTCAATCTGGAAAGCCGGTGGATTGGCAGGATCAGATGCAGAGAATGCAGGGGTGGTTAGTATTCATCTTAGTCTAAAATATCACTGACAATAGTTGAAATAGTCCATCCTCTTTATAGATCTGTAGCCATTATTCTAGGTGCTTGAATTAAAATTGCTTGATATGAGGTTAACATTTTATTGGTAGGTTGCTGTTAAAGATCTTGTTTCTGGAGATATAATATCACAGTTCAAGGCACATACAAGTCCCATTTCAGCACTTTGTTTTGATCCTAGTGGAACTCTCTTGGTTACTGCTTCAGTGTGTGGGAACAATATTAACATCTTCCAGATCATGCCATCTTGTTCACGCGGTGCGTCTGGTGCCCTGATTTACGAGTGGAGATCTTCTCATATGCATCTCTACAAGCTGCACAGGGGCATCACTTCAGCTGTTAGTATTCTTTTAGCTTGACATTGTCACTTTTTACTTTGTCATTCCTTTTTCCCTAGATTACTTTATCTATGTATAGTTTTTTATGCAACAGATTATCCAGGACATTTGCTTTAGTCATCACGGTCAGTGGGTTGCTGTTATCTCGTCCAAAGGAACTTGCCATATTTTTGTTTTAACCTCATTTGGAGGTGATGATGGGTTGATACCTTTAAGTTGTGAACATGAAGAAGGTGCACGATTTCCTGTTTCATCTTTGCCATGGTGTGCTTCATATAATCAGCAGTCCTTATCACCATCATCCCCTGTTTCCCTTTCCGTGGTAAGCAGAATAAAATATAGCAGTTTTGGATGGCTTAACACGGTAAGTAGTGCTGCTACAGCTGCAACTGGAAAAGTTTTTGTACCGTCGGGTGCTGTGGCAGCTGTTTTTCATAAATCTGTTACTCATGACAACCAACGAAACTCTGGACCTAAGTCACTGGAGCATATCTTGGTCTATACTCCATCTGGCCATGTGGTGCAGCATGAGCTTCTGCCGTCGGTTTGCGTGGAACCAACTGAAAATGGTTCGAGACTACGAAAAGCTTCACAAGTTCAGGTGGAGGAGGATGACTTAAGGGTAAAAGTTGAACCCATTCAATGGTGGGATGTATGTAGGAGGTCGGACTGGCTGGAAAAAGAGGAATGCCTTTCTGAGGCTACCACTAAAAGGCAACAAGATGCGGAAATGGCTTCAAATAACTTGTCTAATCACGAGGATTCTTGTCAACTGCACCTTCTCGGCATCAACAACAACCATGGTGAAGTGAAGTCTTTGAAAACTTGTTCCCTGAAGCCCCATGAAAGTTCCCATTGTTATCTCTCAAATGCTGAGGTACAAATGATATCTGGGGTTTTACCAGTGTGGCAAAACTCAAAGGTATTTCCTTTTTTTCAATAGCTCCCTCTCTTTACTCGGTACTATAGTATCTCGATTTACTTTCTCTGGCGTGTTACCAGATTTCTTTCCATGTGATGGACTCTCCAAGAGCTGACAGTTCCGCTGGTGGAGAGTTTGAGATCGAAAAGGTCACCACCCACGGAGTTGAGATTAAACAGAAAAAGTTGCTGCCTGTTTTTGACCACTTCCATAGCATGAAAACAACATGGGAAGACAGGTAATGCAAATGTTGGGGAATCTGTACACGAGATTGTTGTCTCTTCTCTTCTCTTCTCTTCTCTTCTCTATTTCCAATTCTTTGGCTTTAGCCTGTAGCTTGAAACGACTTAAAGAGGACTTAAAGTTAGAGGTATATGACTTGCATGACAGGTTTTCCGAATTTCTTATATACAGATATTTAGAAAGTTTTTCAGAGGTGCTGGTTGTGCATGCCCTTCCTCTAGTTTCCTCCTTTATATTCCTTAAAGTTGTCTTTTATTTGATGTCTGATGCTTTGCTTCATTCCTTAGGTTTTCTATGAATTATACTCACACATCCAAATTGGAGTCTCATCAAGTCAATGGAAAGATTACCCAAGATACAATCAACTGTCACTCTAAGCCTGGATCCCTCAGCTCTACCGAAAGCTTTGAAGAGAGTAAGTCAGATATTTTTTTTCATGAGGTTCCATAAATTTGTGAGTCAGCTCTTGACATGGAATGCATCGGAGGAAAGAGCATAGAAAACTATGGTCTCTCTTCTTCTAAATGCTTCGAGGCTAACCCATTGGTTTGTGAAAATAGGTTTGTCAAGACGGAGGGATAATCTCCTTGATATGGATCGTATCAGCTGCTTAAAATCTGCTGCAGCCGCTCACCTGGCCGCAAATGGTATGAACATGACAAATGGATTTGTCCACAAACCCGTGATAGACGAGTCTTCGAATCCTGATGAAACACGGATAGAAAAGCATATGAGTAATGGCTGGTCCAGACCGCCGAATGGGATTTGCAATGGCCAGACATCTCAGATACCGACATTCCTCGCCAGTGAACAACTGCTTTACACAGAAACTCTAGCGGGTGCTTTGCTAGAGGAGCACTGTAAAGCAGAAGAAAACCCAAATCTCAAGGCGGAGAAACTGGAAGGGAGATGAAACGGTACAGAAGATTTGAATCGGCACAATCTTGGATTTGTGATTGTTGTCTGGAAGTGGCTTAAGATTCATATATGGGTAAAGAAACTGACATTTGTGTGTTTTACGTTGTTGTGTTGTGTGGACAGGTAAGTGAAGTTTGGAAGATGCGAAGTGCGATGAGAAGGCGTTTCTAGCCTCCCTCCCTGGAGTTGGTCGTGGTAACATAATCTCTCTTCTTCTTCCTTCCCCCCCTTTTTACCCTTTCTTTACATGAAATGAACATATGATGATATGAAATAAATAAAATACATACGTAAAAAGTGTATTATGTACATGTTGTAGATGGGGGTTGAAACCCTAGATTCGAGTTTACAGGGGTGGTTTTCAATTTGTTTTTTTTTTTTTAAAAAAAATCTCTGTACATAGGATCCATCCACAAAAAAACAATGGAAAGAGAGAATGTGATTATGAAAAACTGCTTCTTGTTTCTTTTGTAAGTAGTTCCCCAACTTTGAGTGGATTATGTTTTGTTTTTTTTGGTAAGGGATTATGTATTGTCAAGGAAAGGATCATGTGTCTTTATTATATTTTTGGCACGGAATTCTCTATATTATTACATTTTAACCCCCCATTTTAAGGAATATTCCTCCCTCCACTCGGGGAGTATCTGATCTGAGCTTGTTGAATGTTGATAATTTGAAATTTGTAAACATATTTTGGCATTTCGACTTACGCTGTCAAAGATGATAATTCACGTTTAGTGGAGGGCCAAATTTAAAATCAATCAACTCATTATTTTTCTAAAAGAAAACTTCAAAAAAACATGATTTTTTCAATTCTCATGAAATAAAATCTAAATATTGTTGTTTTATCAAATAAAATCTCAATTTTATTTTCAGTAAAAAATAAACTTAAACTTTACAATAATATCATTTTTAAACCTTTTCATAAACATCCAACGTGATAAATCTAACACTTTGATCATATGTGATATATTATCATCTATCTATTATGATATCGAAACATCATGTTAACAATAAATTTAAAAATGATAAAGATTATAAAGTTCAGATTTATTTTTGATTAAAAAATGAAATTGAGATTTTATTTGATAAAAAACAAATTTTAAATTTTATTTTGTGAAAATCTAGAAGTTCAATTTTTGTTTTGGGATTTACTTTTTTCTAAACAAGATTAGCTAATTTCATTTCCCATAAAAAAAGTTAATTTTTTCTTTTTCTTCTTTTGTCCTCTTGAGGTGGCTATTTTGAGTTGTATTTTTTTTAAAAGAAGTTATATTTAATAATATTCATTTTTAACTCATATATATATATATATATATGAGTTGGTTGTATTTCCTTCTGTAAAAATATAGAATCCTCCATTTTTTTCATTGTTTTTTTTCCTTTCAAAGAATTCACATTTTGTTGACCCAAAGGTAAAAAAAGGGAAAATCTCAACATATTTAAGTCAAAAGCGGTCCAGGCACAATATCCTCTTCCAGTGCGTGAGACGGAAAAGCCTAACACAAGAACAAGACGCTCCGATCGGCTTCACCGAGGGACGATCCCTCTCTTGACGCGATTGCTCTTCGTATGTGCGTTTCCGTATTCCCTTTTTGTCCTCCGATTTGATTTGCCATCTCGGAATTATCATCTGCTTGCTTTATCGGATTTGTGAGGTCGTGTTCAGAGTTCGAATCTGTGTTTGACTGACTCTGACCTCACTGTTGATCGCGATTATTCGCCACTGAACGGCGTTTTCCTTTGCGCGATATCCCCTATTGATTTGTATCTTGTTTGAGCTTTGGATTCCTAGATTCTGGGCTACTCGTAGTTAAGTTTCGTTGTGAAATTTCGATTCCTGAGGCATTTCTTCTGCTCTTGTCGATCTCGTTTTCTCTAGGTTTTTCTGACGACATGATTTTGTCTTTTTTAGCTTGTAGTTTGTCTGCGAGTGAAGCTGCGTGTCACCATCTTCATCACATCTCTGCTTTGCGGGTAACCTCACCATGAACGCCCTTGTTCCGCAGTTGCAGAAACGATTTCAGGACTACCTCATTTCTCTTTATCAACAGGTTTCGTCTGAAATCACTCCCTCCTTTCATTTTGTATTCTACAAGTTCCAATTCGTGTAGATTTTACATTAGATTGATGATATACCCACAACGGAATATGATCTAATCTTGTGGCAGGTTTGTTTCTGTCTGGAGATGTTCCAGGGAAAATTGGACATTTTGTACAGAAATAAAACCTTTTAAGAAAACTTGAAGTCTGGCTGGAAGATTGTCATAGGATTAATACGCATTTCGTTTAGGATATCTATAACCCTATGAATTTTGTTTTTCACATCTGTTGGTTCTAGTAGATCGTTTGGATTTGAATTGCGGGTTCTATAAACTTCTCCAATACCAAAGCTGCATCTCTTTTGGTGATGTGAGGACTATCTACACTTGCTTTTAAGCCATACCTCTCACTGAATGTTGGACTTGAATTGTGTTGTAGAAAAAAGAAAATCGGTGTCCCTGAGATGGGTTTAATTTGAGGTTGTCTGAGATGATTTCTTGTTTATTGTTTCCAAAGGGGTTTCTGGATGATCAGTTCTCTGAGCTGAGAAAGTTGCAAGATGAGGGCAATCCTGATTTTCTGACTGAGGTTGTCTCTCTCTTCTTTGAAGACTGTCAGAAACTTATCAATAACATGGCTAGAATTCTGTAAGATTTGCTTTTTCTTATAGTTTCTTCTACTTACTATATGTATATAGGTCTCTGCATGAATCTCTTTTGTTTTGAGGTGCTTGCTGGAATATTGTGATTTCTGAAAGCATTTGTGATTTATTATCACTTCAGGGACCAGACAGGAAATGTGGATTTCAAACAGGTAGATGCGAGCGTGCATCAACTGAAGGGTAGTAGCTCAAGGTGAATTTCATTGTCTTGGGTTTTCTTTTCAGCCTCTAGATCCATAATCATGTCCTCAAGTACATAACGAACCTTTCTCCATGACATATGCATAGTCTTTAGAATACAGAGAAGCTTAGTTTAATTAACGGCTGGGTTGCTGTTGTGTATGCAGTGTTGGTGCGAGTAGAGTTAAAAGTTTGTGTGTGGCCTTCAAGGAATATTGCGATACTCAGAGCCTTGAAGGGTGGGTGACATATCATATAGCAAACGGATATTATTTTTTCCTTCTGTGTTAAGAGTTTAGCTTATTTATGCAAAAATATTATTGGGTTTGTTTGGTTGCTGAAATGCATTGGTGGAGCAGTTCTTTCTCGAATTTCTTAAGAATCATGAGAATGGTATCTGGTACAGGTGTGTGAGTTGTCTACAGCAGGTGGATTATGAATATAGGTTGCTAAAAGCCAAACTTCAGGATCTGTTCAATGTGAGTAAAACCCTGTGCGAAAAGGCTTCCTTTCTGCTTGTGAATCCTTTGATGCGCTCTTTTAACGCATCATTTGCTGCTTCTCATAGTCCCTTATTGCCATTTCAGCTGGAGCAACAGATCCTTCAAGCTGGAGGTGCAATCCCTCAGGTGGATATAAACTAGATCGATAGGCTTCTTGATTTGGGAATCGCTAAGGGCGGAACAGAGGATCCAAACTACAGTCTTCTATCGAATATGTTGTAATTTTTTGTTTTGGTTAGTAGTGTTGATAATCGATACTATCTACCATACATTATCGGCTCTTTTGGGTAAATTTAGACACTTGATGGTGTTCTAATAAAGACATTGGAATTTTACCCAAGTCATTCTGCGTATATCTATACGCATCATGTACTGTATTCTTTTCCGGAATGGTAGGCCTTTGGGTGTTGCTTTTTGACATAATTGGATACGTGGTGCGGATGCAGTGAGCATTATTACGCATTTGGCTTGAATTCTTCTGATACACTTTCTTTGGCTTTTTAACATATTATGAGTCAAGTTTCAGGTGCTTGGTGGTCTTTTTTATGTAAACAGAGAACATAAGTTTATTTCTGATGCAGGCTTGTAGGTAGCAATCTCTTCTCTCGGCAATGGCAATGGTGGTCTCGGTTGAATATCATCGTCTCGTGGTTCTGAAAGCCATGGTCCATCCACTAAAGCCAGTTGCTCGAGAAGAGGGTTCTGTGGTTTCAGGTAAACATCGCAAACCTCTCTCGATCCAATTTGGAAAATTTTAATCGAAGAATATGGTTTTGCTGTGATATTAGTAAAACCTCAGGCTTTGATTATATTTGCTAGTTACCTTAGCGATTAGTTTGTAGCCATTTTTGTTGTTCACTGCCCTTTTGTCGTCATGCGTTCAATTGCAATCGCAATGATTTCTCAGTACCATTGAGATCCTCTTAACCCTCCAGTGGGTTCATCATTTTCCTAGGTCTGTTTTAGGCGTAAAGCAAAAGGGTCGTCGGAGAACCCCACAAAGAGTTGAATTATGAACATCTTCCGTTAGGATTATTGCGGCAATAGATGACAATTTCTGGGGGGCAAATCTTTGTAGGTATCTACTGAACTAGGACTCCTTCAAATTCAAGTATCTTTGATCATTCATGAGCTGTGAACCCAATAACTAAAGAATATGATACACATATATATATGTATATGTATATATGATAATTAGGGGACTTGACATTAACAGAGAGAAGAAAGCACAGATTAGAGCCGAGGAAGGGAGTAGTATAGGTGCCAGCCGGGGGGAACAGAAATGAGAGATGAATGCGTTGTTGGGTACAATACAAGCACTTGAAAACCTTCCTCAATCATTTATCTCTTATCCGTTTTTGTGTGCTCAACCATCAATCGGTTGGTGGGGAAAAAAAATAAACAAATAAATAAATCATCAAATGTTTTATATGATTTCATTATTAAATTATAAGAAAGGACAATGTGGTGTATAGTTGGTGGGACCAAATTCAAGAATGTAGGATGCTGCTACTGGGAAGTCCTCGCTCGCTTTGGCAGCTTCCATTCGAAGGTAAACATAGGATTTGGTATGGTGGCTCATTATAGTTCAACCCAATTATTATTATTATTATTATTATTATTATTTCCTTTCCCTATGATACGTGATTAATAGTGTGTGGCCAAACTAATTCAGGTAGACTGACACGCTATAGAAGAAAGGAAACCCACTCCTTTAAACGTTAAAGCAACAAAATTTCCGGCAACCAACCTTATTGAGGGAAGCGACTGGTTGCACTGCCGCTACCCGTAAACAGAGCGGTTGCGATTTTCGACGATTGCAAGCGATTGAAAAACTGACTGATTGAACCGCAACCATCCGCAACCGCAACCAAACTTGTGTTTTCTAATCGCAGCTTCTAACTTGCGTTTTGGTAACGGTTTCCGGTGTTTTGACAAAAAAACTAAAATATCTTCATTAAAAATTATATAAAACTCTAATATATATATATATATTTATAATGATTTTGTTTAGTGTTATGATTTGATATTATTTTTTAGTATTATATTTTAATAAAAAATATAATAGTATATTTTTTAGATTTAATAATGATTATTTTTAATAATTTTTTAGAGTTAAAAGTTTGTGTGTGGC